ACTCATAGACTCACACAGAGAGATCCATAGACTCACACAGAGAGACCCATAGACTCACACAGAGACACATAGACTCACACAGAGACTCATAGACTCACACAGAGATCCACAGACTCACACAGAGATCCATAGACTCACACAGAGGCCCATAGACTCACACAGAGAGACCCATAGACTCACACAGAGACCCATAGACTCACACAGAGACCCATAGACTCACACAGAGACCCACAGACTCACACAGAGACCCATAGACTCACACAGAGACCCATAGACTCACACAGAGACCCATAGACTCACACAGAGACCCACAGACTCACACAGAGACCCATAGACTCACACAGAGATCCATAGACTCACACAGAGACTCATAGACTCACACAGAGAGATCCATAGACTCACACAGAGAGACCCATAGACTCACACAGAGACACATAGACTCACACAGAGACTCATAGACTCACACAGAGATCCACAGACTCACACAGAGATCCATAGACTCACACAGAGGCCCATAGACTCACACAGAGAGACCCATAGACTCACACAGAGACCCACAGACTCACACAGAGACCCACAGACTCACACAGAGACCCACAGACTCACACAGAGAACCATAGACTCACACACAGAGACCCATAGACTCACAGAGTCTCATAGACTCACACAGAGACCCATAGACTCACACAGAGAGACCCATAGACACACACAGACCCATTAACTCACACACAGACCCATAGACTCACACAGAGACCCATAGACTCACACAGAGACCCATAGACTCACACAGAGACCCATAGACTCACACAGAGAGGCCCATAGACTCACACAGAGAGACCCATAGACTCACACAGAGACCCATAGACTCACACAGAGACCCATAGACTCACACAGAGAGACCCATAGACTCACACAGAGACCCATAGACTCACACAGAGATCCATAGACTCACACAGAGAGACCCATAGACTCACACAGAGACCCATAGACTCACACAGAGACCCATAGACTCACACAGAGATCCATAGACTCACACAGAGACCCATAGACTCACACAGAGACAATTGGCTCTGCCACATATCAATTAGCAAAATATATAACCAAACAAATACAGCCCTACATCGGTAAGACATCTTCATTCATAAAAAATTCAGAACATCTTGTGAATGTGATTAAAGATATTAAACTTACTCCTGATGATATTCTGGTAAGTTTTGATGTGATTTCTCTATTCACTAAGGTTCCAGTGGACGAATCGCTTAAATTACTTGATACACTAGTAAAGAATACCGGTTTACCAAAAGATATTCCGAAACTTGCTGGCCATTGTTTAAATAACACTTACTTCTTATGGAGAGGGGATTTCTTTAAACAAAAGGAAGGAGCAGCAATGGGTTCTCCTTTATCCCCTGCTATAGCAAATTTGTACATGGAAATCTTTGAAATAAGAGCACTTGCCTCGAGCACATTAAAACCATCCTTTTGGTTTAGATATGTGGATGACACTTTGGTTGTCTGGCCACATGGTAAAGATACACTTAATGATTTTCTAAATCATCTCAATGCACAAAACCCGGCCATCCAGTTCACCATGGAAATGGAGGTGAATAACACACTCCCATTCCTAGATATTTTGCTTGGACATGGCCTGAACGGTAAAATAACACACAGCGTTTATAGAAAGCAAACGCACACTGATGCCTATCTGAATGCAGAATCACATCATCATCCAGCTCAGAAATCCTCTCTTATCAAGACGCTCATACATCGGGCTAAAACAGTGTCAGATGGTGAGAGTCTAGTGAGAGAGATTAAACACGTTAAAGACGCACTACGACAGAATGGCTACAATAATGCTCAAATTAACAGAGCACTGAATGCCAAATCACGATCGCAAAGCAATACTGCTGAAAGCGACCAGATTGTTAAAACAATAAAAATTCCATATATCTCAGGAGTAACTGACAAATTAGCCCGTGTTTTGCAAAAGCAAAACATTACAGTAAGATTTGGTACAGTACACAAAATTCAAAAACTAGTATCTTGCACTAAAGACGCATTACCTAAACTATCAACAGAAGGTGTATATCGGATTCATTGTTCATGTGGCAGCTGCTACAATGGGCAGACGGGACGTAACATCAGCGTAAGACTAAAAGAACATCAGAGAAATATTAAATTATCTCAAACACAACTGTCGGCAGTGGCAGAACATGCTTGTCAACAAGGACACTCAATTAATTTTGACAATGTTGCAGTGGTGTGTAAAACTAATTATTACTGGCAAAGACTAATTAGAGAATCCATTGAAATTGAGAGGAACAAGAATAACTTTAATCGCTCTGACAGCTACAGGCTTAGTGCGGCCTGGAAGCGTATTATTAAATAATACACATTACATTTTGATTTAAAGAATTACTAATCTACAACTCATTACTAATCATAAGCAATGACTGATTACTAATCGATTATATAATTACAATACCCCACCCTCCGCCTCTAATCACTGCACCTGATATGAGTTAAGTGATGACGTCACCCTGCTGCTCTATATAAAACCGGGAGTAAGCGAGGGCTTTACCATTCTGGCGAATTGCCCGATGATGCTGGATGTATTTACCAGCGAAACGTCGTACTCAAACTGTAAATGTGGATTCACTCTTCAACACACCGGTAGGCTAAAGTAGTGAATTATTTGTCTTTTGTCAACGTGACACTTTTTTGCTGATTGGCCGTGTCGGGTGGTGGAGGGTTACGACACATTTATAAATAAACGCGATCTAATCCAAAAACCTTCATTATGGACCCATAGATTCACACAGACCCATAAACTCACACAGAGACCCACAGACTCACACAGAGACCCATAGACTCACACACAGAGACCCATAGACTCACACAGAGTCCCACAGACTCACACAGAGACCCATAGACTCACACACAGAGACCCATAGACTCACACAGAGACTCATAGACTCACACAGAGACCCACAGACTCACACAGAGACCCATAGACTCACACAGAGACCCATAGACTCACACAGAGACCCATAGACTCACACAGAGACCCATAGACTCACACAGAGACCCATAGACTCACTCAGAGAGACCCATAGACTCACACAGAGACCCATAGACTCACACAGAGACCCATAGACTCACACAGAGACCCACAGACTCACACAGAGACCCATAGACTCACACAGAGACCCATAGACTCACACAGAGACCCATAGACTCACACAGAGACCCATAGACTCACACAGAGACCCACAGACTCACACAGAGACCCATAGACTCACACAGAGACCCATAGACTCACACAGAGACCCACAGACTCACACAGAGACCCACAGACTCACACAGAGACCCATAGACTCACACAGAGACTCATAGACTCACACAGAGAGATCCATAGACTCACACAGAGAGACCCATAGACTCACACAGAGACACATAGACTCACACAGAGACTCATAGACTCACACAGAGATCCACAGACTCACACAGAGATCCATAGACTCACACAGAGGCCCATAGACTCACACAGAGAGACCCATAGACTCACACAGAGACCCATAGACTCACACAGAGACCCATAGACTCACACAGAGACCCATAGACTCACACAGAGACCCATAGACTCACACAGAGACCCATAGACTCACACAGAGACCCATAGACTCACACAGAGACCCACAGACTCACACAGAGACCCATAGACTCACACAGAGATCCATAGACTCACACAGAGACTCATAGACTCACACAGAGAGATCCATAGACTCACACAGAGAGACCCATAGACTCACACAGAGACACATAGACTCACACAGAGACTCATAGACTCACACAGAGATCCACAGACTCACACAGAGATCCATAGACTCATACAGAGGCCCATAGACTCACACAGAGAGACCCATAGACTCACACAGAGACCCACAGACTCACACAGAGACCCACAGACTCACACAGAGACCCACAGACTCACACAGAGAACCATAGACTCACACACAGAGACCCATAGACTCACACAGAGTCTCATAGACTCACACAGAGACCCATAGACTCACACAGAGAGACCCATAGACACACACAGACCCATAGACTCACACAGAGACCCATAGACTCACACAGAGACCCATAGACTCACACAGAGACCCATAGACTCACACAGAGAGGCCCATAGACTCACACAGAGAGACCCATAGACTCACACAGAGACCCATAGACTCACACAGAGACCCATAGACTCACACAGAGAGACCCATAGACTCACACAGAGACCCATAGACTCACACAGAGATCCATAGACTCACACAGAGAGACCCATAGACTCACACAGAGACCCATAGACTCACACAGAGATCCATAGACTCACACAGAGACCCATAGACTCACACAGAGACCCATAGACTCACACAGAGACCCATAGACTCACACAGAGACCCATAGACTCACACAAAGACCCATAGACTCACACAGAGACCCATAGACTCACACAGAGAGACCCATAGACTCGCACAGTGACCCATAGACTCACACAGACCCATAAACTCACACAGAGACCCACAGACTCACACAGAGACCCATACCCTCGCACAGAGACCCATAGACTCACACAGAGACCCATAGACTCACACAGAGACCCATAGACTCACACAGAGACACATAGACTCACACAGAGACCCATAGACTCACACAGAGACCCCTAGACACACACAGAGACCCATAGACTCACCACACAGAGACCCATAGACTCACACAGAGACCCACAGACTCACACAGAGACCCATATACTCACCACACAGAGACCCATAGACTCACACAGAGACCCATAGATACACACACAGAGACCCTCCCTCCCTCCCCCCCTCCCCCCTCCTCCCTCCCCCCCTCCCGCCTCCCTCCCCCCTCCCTCCCCCCTCCATCCCCCCCTCCCCCCTCCTCCCTCCCCCCTCCATCCCCTCCATCCCTCCTTCCCTGTTGACCCACAGCTCCGGACGTGAATTTGATCAAAGTGGAGCTGCCCGAGGACAGTGGAGAGCCTTGCGATGGACCGGCGCTCTCTCCGGATCGGAACTTCATCGAGGTCGAGCTATCGGAGCTGTCGGAGCAGGACGAGGAGGAGGATGATGTCGACGATGATGATGATGATGATGTCGACGATGGCGGAGGTGAGAGCCCCATAATGGAGGTCTAATTAAATCAATTTAAATCTCAAATCTTGCAACTTGATTTGAACCTTTCGTGGCTTACAGGAATTACCCTTTGGTCATTTCGGTAAAGTCACGTAGAAAAGGGAAAATAATAATTAAATAATAGAGCACACCGTTTCGATTGCAACACAAGCAACCTCCATCAGGTAAGAATGAATGAGAAAATAAACCCAGTGAACTTAGAATTATAATGCAGCACAACACAGAGAGCTGGCCAACACGGCAGTCAACACCCCACCTGGTCGATTGACGTTCTTCCAAAGATTGCTACATTTGAGAGAGAGTGAGAGAGACAAAACACAGACACGGAGACACACAGACAGACACACAAGCAGAGAGAGACACACAACATAGACACACAGAGACACAACATAGACACACAGAGACACACAACATAGACACACAGAGACACACAACATAGACACACAGAGACACACAACATAGACACAAGCAGAGAGAGACACACAGACAGACACACAAGTTGAGAGAGACACACACGGAGACTCACAGAGAGAGACACAAAACATAGACACAAGCAGAGAGAGACACAGACAGACACACAAGCTGAGAGAGACACACGGAGACACACAGAGAGAGACACTCACAGAGACTCACCGGCGTAGATGTTCCATTAAGGAAGTCCACATTTCACAAGCATAGAGAAGGGATAGCATGACCGTGGCCAAGAAGACCCGAAGCTTCGTGTGGAGTGACAGACCAGGTAGCTTTTACACAGCGTTACGCAACCGATGAAAATATAATGCTGCTTGACTGATTCGGAGCGAGACTTCTGCTTTCAAACTGGAGCTGGTCATAAGCAAACTGCCCAGGTATGGAAACTCTCCACTGTCTCTACAGCTGCCCTGCCAATAGGGAGTTGAGGGGGTGGAGTGTTTGATGATACAAATTCCCAGGCAGGTGCTTAGTTTTGGAGGGGCTGATGGTAAGGCCCCATCTCATAGTAGTACACTCCAGATCAAACAGCAGCGCCTCCAACTCCTCTAAGTAAGGAGCAATCAGCAGATCATCAGCATACCTAACATGGTTGACCAATAGGGAGCCATCCCTTGACCACACCTGGGCATCGAGGAGCCTTCCATTGTATCTGTACCAGATGGAGATTCTTCCGGTACAGCCATAGAAGGCTTCTCAAACTACGTGGTCGAAAAATATGTTAAATAATGTGGGAGCCAGAGGACATCCCTGTCGCACCCCAAGGTGAACAGGAACTCCTGGCCTCGTAGCTTTACCCAGGCCTGCCCATCATCATGAAGGTCCTTAATGATCGTGAGCAGAGAGTCAAGTACTCTGAAAGCACAAATAATAACCCAGAGCCCAGGCCCATTGATGGTATCATAGGCCTTGACCAGGTCAATAAAGCAGAGATGTAGGTCTTGTTGGAATTTCCTACACCTCTGCTGTAGCAGCCAGACAGAAAATATGGCATCTGTGCAGGACCACCCTTTCCTGAAACCACATTGGGGCTCCGCAAGCCTCTCCTCAGCATGCCCGGCAAGGCGATGTTGAATAATCCTTGGCAGAACCTTTCCCGGCACAATGAGGAGTGAGATGCCCCTGTAGTTGTTACAGTCTGTGCGGTTCCCCTTCTTAAAGAGGGGGACCACCAGGGCATCCTTCCAATCCTGCAGAACCCGTCCAGTGGTCCAGACCGTTGTTATGATGTCATGTCGGGCAGTCTGCGCACAAACGCCACCCTCCCTCAGAATTTCGCTTGGGAGATCATCTCTGCCCGGTGCCTTTCCTGGTGTCAGACTCTGGATCGCCTTCCGTACTTCCTCAACAGATGGCACCTCAGCCAGCCACTCACAGGGGGTGACTTCTTCCAATATTTGAGGCACAGCAGCCTCAGCAGGGTTATCCCCCCTTTGCCCCAAGATCTCACAGAAATGGTCAGTAAACATGCAAAGCTGTTCCTGGGGGTCGGAGATTGGATCATCTTTCTTTCCGCTAAGGATGGCAATAGTTGTGGTGCTGCAAGATACTTTTTGGATGGAATTAAAGAGTGATTTGTGATTTCGGGCTACTGAGGCAGACTCCATCTCCTCAGCAACCCGCGACCACAACCATCCTTGCAGCGGCTCACGGCTCTCCGAACCTCCAAGTGAAGACTGCGGTAAGCCTCCTTATTCTCTGACATGGGATGCTGTAGACGATGAGAGTGGGCCTGTCGCGTTTTTCTCAGCCAGCTTGAACACCTCTTTTGTCAGCCAGGGTCTTTGGGGAGTTATGGACCGTGGACCCAAAGCAGCCATTGCAGCTGCATGAGCCACAGTCCTAAACCTCGTCCATTTCCCTTCGGTATTTCGAGGAGTGGGGGACGATGCAAACTCCAGCTGCAAGTGATGATTAATTTCTCGCAGGTGACTTTCATCAGTTAGCTGAGACCAGGCCACCTTGAGTTTGAATGGGGTCCTAGGTGTACACCCACCACCGGAGTGGATGAATGGCAGGCGCATCTTACAGATGACAAGACGATGGTCAGTGGGCAGATCAGCTCCACGGTAGATCCTGGTGTCAAGGACATGGGCCTGCATCTGCTCGCTGTTCTGTCACTATGTAGTCCAGCAGATGTTCTTTCTTGGACCGGGTGTGCATCCATGATGTGTGATTGTGCCGATCTCAGAACAGCGTGTTGGCAATTACAAGCCCATGGGCAGCACAGAAGTCTAGCAGCCTCCTACCGTTGTTATTGAGCTGATCTGGCCCATGCCTTCCAATCACTCCAGACCAGGTGCCAGCATCATGACCAACTCGGGCATTGAAGTCACCCAACAGGATGACTCTATCCTGAGGAGCCATTTTAGCTAGCATCTGACTCATCGGCCTTGCCTGCATCCCTCCACTGATGTTCATTTTCGGTGGAAGCATACGCAACCACCACTCCTCGCCTCCGGTTGATGGGAAGGCGAGCCCACGGTAGCCTGGGGCTTACAGCTTCCCACACCTCACCGCCACGCTCCCACACCCCCTTCATTATTTTGTTCAGAAGAAGAGCCACTCCTTGCTGTTTCACACTCTCCTGCCCCGAGTAGAGGACTGTCCACCCCTCATGGTGACTGGAGCAAGAGGCAGTCCACCAGACCTCCTGATTGCCACAGAGATCCACGCGGTACCAATCCAGCTCCCGACAAAGGAGTGGCAGCCTCTTCTCTGCAGAGAGCGTTCGAGCATTCCACTTGGCCACTTGCAGTGTTTTTTTTTGCCGTATCTGGAGGAGCCCCGAGTGTACGGGTTCAGTCTCCTGGCTCCGCCAAATGGGGTTTGGCTAGGAGAGGTCACAGATGTCTGTCCCCCCCCCTGGGGCCTCCGGCACAAGCTTGGTTCGATTTTTTAAAACGTTTTTTACTCGTAATTGAATTGAAAGTGGAGGGGTTACCCACCCACCATCTTCACCCACCCACCATCTTCACCCACCCACCATCTTCACCCACCCACCATCTTCACCCACCCACCATCTTCACCCACCCACCATCTTCACCCACCTACCATGTCACCCACCCACCCACCATCCCACCCACCCACCCACTCAATCAATAAATAACCCATTCGCTCACTCACAAGTGAGACTCCATCCTGGTCTCTCTCTCTCTCTCTCTGGAGTTCTCACCTGGGGGTAGGTGGGGAGGGTCCCGCAAAATCGACTTGACTCTCACACCGAGGGAGGGGCCCTGTGTTCCTTTCTAACAAAAACGCTGCGACAGACGAAGTCGGTGCGACGGAGCGGCCGCCGTGCGCGGAGTGCGGCGGTGCCGGCGGTGCCGGCGGTGCCGGCGGTGCCGGCGGTGCCGGCGGTGCCGGCGGTGCCGGCGGTGCCGGCGACGTCGCGACCCCGAGAGCCTGCGCGGAGTGCGGCACGGCCCCGCGAGGCGACCGCGGTCACGGCCCCGGCCAACGGCAACAGCGGCCGCGGGCTAAGAAGGAGAAGCAGAAACAGCGGCAGCAGAAGGGGATGAGGACACCCGGCGGGCAGGAGCGGCGTGCACGATCGGCGATGGGGAAGGAGCCGGCACGGGTCGCCGACGACGCGGGACGGCGGCAAGAGAGGAGCGACGGCACCGCCGCCGGCGCTTCGGGGAGGAAGAAACCGAAGCCGGGGGTGACGTGCGCGGAGTGCGGCAAGGACTTCTCGTACCGCTGCCTCCTTCGCAAGCACGCGGCCACGCACACGGGCGAGCGGCCGCACGCCTGCGCCGAGTGCGGCCGCGCGTTCTCGCAGCGCTACAACCTGGAGGCGCACGCCCGCGTCCACACGGGCGAGCGGCCCCACGTGTGCGCCGAGTGCGGCCGGGGCTTCGCGCAGCGCTTCGCCCTGGCCAGGCACGCGCGGGCCCACGCCGGGGAGCGCCCGCACGCCTGCGGCGAGTGCGGCAGGCGCTTCGGGGAGCTCTCGGACCTGCGGGCGCACTCGGCGGCGCACGCCGGCGACAGGCCGCACGCCTGCCCCGAGTGCGGCAGGCGGTTCGCGCGGCGCTCCGTGCTGCGCAAGCACGCCCTCACCCACACGGGCGAGCGGCCGCACGCCTGCGCCGAGTGCGGCCGGGCGTTCGCCCGGCGTTACGCCCTGGAGGCGCACGCGAGGACGCACGCGGGCGGCCGGCCGCACGCCTGCGCCGAGTGCGGCCGGCTCTTCGCGCGGGCGTCCTACCTGAGGAAGCACGCGAGGACGCACGCCGCCGAGCGGCCGCTCGCGCGCGCCGAGCGCGGCGGGGGGCTCGCGCGGAGCTGCGGCCCGGGGGCCGGAGCGAGGCCGCACGCGGGCGAGCGGCCGCACGCCTGCGGCGAGTGCGGCAGGGGGTTCGCGCGGCGCTCGGACTTGAAGAAGCACGCGAGGACGCACTCGGGCGAGAGGCCGCACGTGTGCGCCGAGTGCGGCAGGGGGTTCGCGCGGAGCGACTATCTGAAGAGCCATTCGAGAACTCACCGCCGGCTGTAGAGACGCGATGGCGGGAGCGCCCGTAAGGGATTGGGACGCGGTGGCGGGCGCTTCAGCCGCGAAGCGTTTGGCAAGTTAGCTCGCGAAGTGCCGTGCCTTCTTCATTTTCTTCTGACCCTTCTGCTAATTCCTTTTGTTCTAAGCCTTCTTCTCATGCCAATTCTTCTGCTGCTAATTCTTCTACAACTAATTATTCTTCTAATTCTTCTTCTAATCCTTCTTCTACTACTAGTTCTTCTTCTAATTCTTCTACTAATTCCTATACTAATTATTGTTATAATTCTTCCACTAATTGCTATACTAATTATTCTTATAATTCTTCTACTAATTCCTATACTAATTCTTCTAATTCTTCTACTAATTCCTATACTAATTCCTATACTGTCTTCTAATTCTTTTACTAATTCTTCAACTAATTATTTTTCTAATTTTTCTTCTACTAAATCTTTTAATTCTTATTCTTCTAATTCTTATTCTTCTAATTCCTCTTCTAAGCCGTCTTATTCTAAACCTTATTCTTCTTCTTCTTCGTACGGCTGCTGGAGTAGACGCAGAGCAACGGCCACATTGTCACATTCGGGTGGTCAAGCCAGCGGGTACCCGCGTCGGTGGGAGCAGCGGAGTAGCAGTGCATCGCCGCGATGTCTCCTCCGTGTGCCTCGCGGAGTCTCGGGGCGTTGCGTCGCTACGTGCTTCGTACGGCCTGGCCGAATGCATTCATTGGGCTGTGCCGGGCCTCGGCTACTTCCTCCGTCCTTCGAGGTGCCGCAAATTTTTAGTTTGTGCCGAGACAGACGGCTTGACTCCTCGCAAGGACGCACACGCAGGCACACACACACGCAGGCACGCACGCACACGCGCACACACACGCACACGCAGGCACACACGCACACGCAGGCACACACGCACACACACACGCACACACACGCAGGCATGCACACGCACGCACACGCGCACACACGCACGCAGGCATGCACGCACTCACACGCGCACGTACGCACGCACACACGCAGGCACGCACGCAGGCACGCATGCACACGCACACACGCACACACGCACACACGCAGGCACGCACGCACACACACGCAGGCATGCACGCACACACACGCAGGCATGCACACGCACACACGCACACACGCACGCACGCACACACGCACGCACGCACACGCTTTGGTCCCACGTGCCCCGGAGCGGAACGGGTCCGGGTGTCGTGCGGCGCCAACCTCCCGCACCTCCGATTGGCGCGCTTGGCTACATTATACGGTGCAGAAAGAAGTTCAACGTAACTACATACACACTGCCTGTAGACTCTTTAACACCGCACCATAGACTCAACACTGCCTGTAGACTCAACACTGCACCATAGACGTAACACTGCACCATAGACTCATTGATTGATTGAATCAATCAATCAGATTCCAAACTCTCCACCATGGCCAAGACCAAAGAGCTCTCCAAGGATGTCAGGGACAAGATTGTAGACCTACACAAGGCTGGAATGGGCTACAAGACCATTGCCAAGCAGCTTGGTGAGAAGGTGACAACAGTTGGTGCGTTTATTCGCAAATGGATGAAACACAAAAGAACTGTCAATCTCTCTCGGCCTGGGGCTCCATGCAAGATCTCACCTCGTGGAGTTGCAATGATCATGAGAACGGTGATGAATCGGCCCAGAACTACACAGGAGGATCTTGTCAATGATCTCAAGGCAGTTGGGACCATAGTCACCAAGAAAACAATTGGTAACACACTACGCCATGAAGGACTGAAATCCTGCAGCGCCCACAAGGTCCCCCTGCTCAAGAGAGCACATATACATGCCCGTCTGAAGTTTGCCAATGAACATCTGAATGATTCAGAGGACAACCGGGTGATTGTGTTGTGGTCAGATGAGACCAAAATGGAGCTCTTTGGCATCAACTCAACTCTCCGTGTTTGGAGGAGGAGGAATGCTGCCTATGACCCCAAGAACACCATCCCCACCGTCAAACATGGAGGTGGAAACATTATGCTTTGGGGGTGTTTTTCTGCTAAGGGGACAGGATAACTTCACCGCATCAAAGGGACGATGGACGGGGCCATGTACCATCAAATATTGGGTGAGAACCTCCTTCCCTCAGCCAGGGCATTGAAAATGGGTCGTGGATGGGTATTCCAGCATGACAATGACCCAAAACACACGGCCAAGGCAACAAAGGAGTGGCTCAAGAAGAAGCACATTAAGGTCCTGGAGTGGCCTAGCCAGTCTCCAGACCTTAATCCCATAGAAAATCTGTGGAGGGAGCTGAAGGTTCGAGTTGCCAAACGTCAGCCTCGAAACCTTAATGACTTGGAGAAGATCTGAAAAGAAGAGTGGGACAAAATCCCTCCTGAGATGTGTGCAAACCTGGTGGCGAACTACAAGAAACGTCTGACCTCTGTGATTGCCAACAAGGGTTTTGCCACCAAGTACTAAGTCATGTTTTGCAGAGGGGTCAAATTTATAACATTTTCTGGATTTTGTTGTTGTTATTCTGTCTCTCGCTGTTCAAATAAACCTACCATTAAAATTATAGACTGATCATTTCTTCGTCAGTGGTCAAACGTGCAAAATCAGCAGGGGATCAAATACTTTTTTCCCTCACTGTACAGATACACTCATATACATATGCAGTGTAGCTCTCAGAGACACCGTCTTGTGCAGTTATATGTATATATTATCGTGAATAAAGTCCACCGACTCACTGATAACTTAACGGGTAACCGCGAGTGACTATACACACCTGGGTAACGCTACGCTCCCTGCCTAGTTGGCTGGTTACACAGGAGCGGACGCATAGCAGTCACGGAGACGAGATGTAACGCTCGCCTGGCAAGACCACAAGGTGACAACGACGACAACAGCTCCTCGGCTTCCCCAAAACAGCAGCAGCAGCCCAGAGCGACGACACGTCCTTGAACGCGTAGCAGTCACGGAGACGAGTTGTACCGTATTTTTCCCGCATATAACCTGCGTGGTATACCACTTTTTACAAACAAAACAAGACCCTGCGGGGGTATATGGAGGTGCGGGCTATCCCAAAAATATTTTACACTCGTTTAATTTTTTCATGGTACGACTATCCACTATGCGACACTTACCTTTGACTAAAGCACTGCTGAATAAACCATTCATACTAAAATTGCACTGTCATCACGTTTTAAATGATTCGAATTGTTTGTACAATGAAACGACAATGTTTGAAGTGGGCGCACTTTGTTTACCGGCGACGGGAGAGCTGGGGGAGAGAGAGGTGGGGGGGTTGGGGGCGAGGCGATGGCGTTACCGTAGTGCCGCTATTGTCTGCGCAGTGCGCAATCTACCAGTGCTAAAACTGTACTTACATAGCTATGTGTTACTTATTAGATATTTACTTTTGTTACTTATTTACTGTTTTTAGTTCACTCGTTTCCGGTTCGTTTGTTTTATTTGTGCACGTTATGATTTTAATGTTAACGATTGATAGTGGAATGTATTACAAATGTAAACTTCGTATTAATATGATGGTATTAAGGTGCGGTAACGACGTTAAATATATGAATGCATGCGGGGTATGTGGAGGTGCCGGCTGTCTGAAATTTGTTTTACACAAAACGCTATTTTTGCGGGGTATATGCGTCCGCGGGTTATATGTGTATGCGGGCGATATGCGGGAAACTCTCGCCTCGCAAGACCACAAGGTGCCCGGTCCAAGACGATGAAGACGACCCACTCCAAGGTGACGATGATGATGGAGGCGGCGGCGGCAGCTCCTCGGTTCCCCCACAGCAGCAGCAGCCCAGAGCCCCGTTCCACGCCGGCTTTTATCCCCCCTCACGACCCGGCCACGCCCCTTTCCCCCCCCTCCCCTCGAACTCTCTATCACCGCACCTGGCCCTGTCTGTCTCTGTCCCAGTTACTATTGACGACCACTTATCCTCACGTGACCCTGTCTGTTCCTGTCAAGGCAATTAGTAACCATGGCCACGGGGAGCCGTCCTGTCCTTACACGTATATAGACTCATCGATATCCATCGAAACCCATATACAGAGAGATATCGAGACTCGTAGAGACATGGGCTAAGTGGACTACGGTTTGCCCAATCCTGGCCCAGCCGGATCAACAAACTTAATAAACTAACATAGAGACGCATAGACATACATAATGACTCATTGAAATACATAGAGACTCGTGGAGATACATAGACTCATAGAGATACATAGAGACTCAGAGACGCATAGAGACTCGTATGGATAGAGACTCATAGAGATACATAGAGACTCAGACGCATAGAGACTCGTATGGATAGAGACTCACAGAGATACATAGAAACTAATAGAGACTCGTAGAGATAGACTCATAGAGAAACATAGAGACTCATAGAGATACATAGACTCATAGAGATACATAGAGACTCGTAGAGATACATAGACTCATAGAGATGCATAGAGACTCAGAGACGCATAGAGACTCGTATGGATAGAGACTCATAGATATACATAGAAACTCATAGAGACTCGTAGAGATAGACTCATAGAGATACATAGAGACTCATAGAAATGCATAGAGACTCAGAGACGCATAGAGACTCGTATGGATAGAGACTCATAGAGATACATAGAAACTCATAGAGACTCGTAGAGATAGACTCATAGAGATACATAGAGACTCATAGAAATGCATAGAGACTCAGAGACGCATAGAGACTCGTATGGATAGAGACTCATAGAGATACATAGAAACTCATAGAGACTCGTAGAGATAGACTCATAGAGATACATAGAGACTCATATAGATACATAGAGACTCATATAGATACATAGAGACTCAGAGACGCATTAGAGACTCGTAGCGATAGAGATTCATAGAGACTCGTAGATATATAGAGAGATGTATAGGGTTACACTGATACATAGAGATACACATGGACTCATAGAGATACATGTAGGCTAATAGAGATACATATAGACTCGTATACATAGACTAGCTCTACTGTCCGGTTTCACTCGAGACTTGGATTCTTCTCTTGGATTAATACACGGCCTTGCATTGTGTACAGTCTGGAAGCTACCCACATGGCAAATTTCAAGTGTGTTGCATTTTGGGAAGTATGCTAAACATTTAGAACGGACACACATTCACAAATTTCCCTTTTATATCTACAGACTCAGAGATACATAAAAACCCATACACAGAGATAGCAAGACTCATAGAGATACATAAATATATAGGGACTCGTGGAGGTAGAGATTGGGTGAAAAGTGGGGCTAAGTTTTGCCTAACTGGCCCAGCTGGTTCAAGAAACTTAGTGAAAGAATGAGACGATCATGGATCTAAACGTCAACGATTTGTTAGCCTGGCACAGCAGGGGGGGGGGGGTCACATCTGATGGTGGTGCCTCTACCACGCATCTCAGTCGACCCGTGGCACCTGCTGGGTCTGTCACGTGACCTCCTGGTGCACCTAGCCTGGCACAGCAGGGGGGGTCACAGCTGATGGTGGTGCCTCTACCACGCATCTCAGTCGACCCGTGGCACCTGCTGGATCTGTCACGTGACCTCCTGCCAGCAGCGAGAGCCTTCGACACTTCACGTGGCAGCCTCAAAGTGCACCTAGCCTGGCACAGGCGAGGTGGTGACGCCACAATCACTTCGTGTGTGGGTGAATGGGCACGTGCTAGAGAACAGATGGGATGACGCGAGGGCGGTGACGTCATCGCCCATGGTAACACCACCACACTGAGGAATCACGTCCCCACCAGATATGCGATGACGTCATCAACGGTGGTAACACCCCTACATAGGAATGACGTACCCACAAGGTCTGCGATGACGTCATCGACGGTGGTAACACCCCACAAGGGAATGACGTCCCCATAAGATCTGTGAAGACGTCATCACGCGTGGTAACACCCCACAGAGGAATGATGCCCCCACCAGATCTGCGATGGCGTCATCACGTGTGGTAACACCCCCTCGAACTGAAAAACAACGTCACCATCAGATTGGCGGTTGACTTCATCACGCATGGGACCACCCCCACAGAGGAATGACGTCCCCACCAGATCTGCGAGACGTCATCACGTGTACTAACCCCCCCCCCCCCCCTACTGAGGAATGACATCACCACCAGATTGGCTGGTGACGTCGTCACGTATGGCAACCCCCCACCTACGGAGAAATGACGTCCCCACCAGATCGGCTGATGACGCCATCACGTATGGTAACATCCCCGCCTACTGAGAAATGACGTCACCACCAGATTGGCGGTTGACGTCACGGGGCGAGAGGTCGCAGCTGGTGGCGCGAGGAGCAGGCGAGGGGCAGGAGGCGCTAGAGGTGAGGGCCCAACTCCTCTTCCACCTCCACCTCGTCAACACCTCCACCTCGTCAACACCTCCACCACCTCCTCGTCAACCTCCTACTCCTTCACCACCACCACCTCGTCAACACCTCCACCACCTCGTCAACACCAACTCCTCTTCCTCCACCTCGTCAACACCTCCACCACCACCTCGTCAACACCTCCACCTCGTCAATACCAACTCCTCTTCATCCACCTCGTCAACACCTCCACCTCGTCAACACCAACTCCTCTTCCACCTCCACCTCGTCAACACCTCCACCACCTCGTCAACCTACTCCTTCACCACCTCCTCCACCTCGTCAACACCGAATCCTCCACCTCGTCAACACCGACTCCTCCTCCACCTCGTCAACACCACCACCACCACCTCGTCAACACCGACTCCTCCACCTCTTCACCACCACCTCTTCACCACCACCTCGTCAACACCAGCTCCTCTTCCACCTCCACCTCGTCAACACCACCTCGTCAACCTCCTACTCCTTCACCACCTCCTCCACCTCGTCAACACCGACTCTTCCACCTCGTCAACACCAGCTCCTCTTCCATCTCCACCTCGTCAACACCAACTCCTCCACCTCGTCAACACCAACTCCTCCATCTCGTCAACACCGACTCCTCTTCCACTTCCACCTCGTCAACACCACCACCACCTCGTCAACCTCCTACTCCTTCACCACCTCCACCTCGTCAACACCGACTCCACCTCGTCAACACCAACTCCTCTTCCACCTCCACCTCGTCAACACCACCTCGTCAAGACCGACTCCACCTCCTCTACCTCCACCATCACCACCATCACCATCGTCACCACCATCATCACAAACACCATCATCACAAACACCATAATCATCACCATCATCATCACAAACACCATCATCGTCACAAACAACATCACCACCATCATCATCATCGTCACCACCATCATCACCATCGTCACCATCACCACCATCATCACAAACACCACCACCATCATCACAAACACCATCACCACCACCATCACAAACACCATCACCACCATCACCATCGTCACCACCATCATCACAAACACCATCATCACAAACACCATAATCATCACCATCATCATCACAAACACCATCATCGTCACAAACAACATCACCACCATCATCATCATCGTCACCACCATCATCACCATCGTCACCATCACCACCATCATCACAAACACCACCACAATCATCACCATCATCATCACAAACAACATCATCACCATCATCATCACAATCACCATCATCATCACCACCACCATATCACCAACACCATCACAAACACCATCATCATCACCACCATCATCATCACCATCATCACCACCACCTCTGTTGGTCAGATTCACAGAAGTCGTGAACGAGTGGGTGGGAGTGGTGGTGTAGTGGTTAGCGCACTGTGTGTGTGTGTGTGGGGAGTGGTGGTGCAGTGGTTAGCGCACTGTGTGTGTGGGGAGTGGTGATGCAGTGGTTAGCGCACTGTGTGTGAGTGGTGGTGCAGTGGTTAGCGCACTGTATGTGTGTGTGGGGAGTGGTGGTGCAGTGGTTAGCGCACTGTGCATGTGTGTGGGGAGTGGTGGTGCAGTGATTAGCGCACTGTGTGTGTGTGGGGGGAGTGGTGGTGCAGTGGTTAGCGCACTGTGTGTGTGGGGAGTGGTGGTGCAGTGGTTAGCGCAGTGTCTGTGTGTGGGGAGTGGTGGTGCAGTGGTTAGCGCACTGTGTGTGTGGGGAGTGGTGGTGCAGTGGTTAGCGCACTGTGTGTGGGGAGTGGTGGTGCAGTGGTTAGCGCACTGTGTGTGTGTGTGTGGGGAGTCGTGGCACAAAGTGATGATGACCCTGCTGAGGCTGCGGTGCCTCAAATATTGGAAGAAGTCACCCCCTGTGAGTGGCTGGCTGAGGTGCCATCTGTTGAGGAAGTACTGAAGGCGATCCGGAGTCTGAGACCAGGAAAGGCAACGGGCAGAGATGATCTCCCAAGCGAAATGCTGAGGGAGGGTGGCGTTTGTGCACAGACTGCCCTATATGATATCATAACAACAGTCTGGACCACTGGACGGGTTCCGCAGGATTGGAAGGATGCCCTGGTGGTCCCCCTTTTAAGAAGGGGGACCGCACAGACTGTAACAACTACGGGGGCATCTCACTCCTCAGTGTGCCGGGAAAGGTCCTGGCAAGGATTATTCAACATCGCCTTGCCAGGCACGCTGAGGAGAGGCTTGCGGTGCCCCAATGCGGTTTCAGGAAAGGGTAGTCCTGCACAGATGCCATATTTTCTGTCCGTCTGCTACAGCAGAGGTGTAGGGAATTCCAACAAGACCTACACCTCTGCTTTATTGACCTTGTCAAGGCCTATGATACCATCAGTAGGCCTGGGCTCTGGGTTCTTCGTGCTTTTGGAGTACCTGACCCTCTGCTCACGATCATTAAGGACCTTCATGATGGTGAGCGGGCCCGGGTAAAACTACATGGTCGGGAGTTAGAGCCATTCCCTGTACACCTTGGGGTGCGACAGGGGTGTCCTCTGGCTCCCACATTATTTAACATCTATTTTGACCACGTAGTTCGTGAAGCCTTCAATAGCTGTACCGGGGGAATCTCCATTTGGTACAGATATAATGGGAGGCTGATCGATGCCCGGGTGCGGTCAAGGGATGGCTCCCTATTGCTCAACCACGTTATGTATGCTGATGATTTGGTAATAGCTGCTCATTCAGAGGAGGAGTTGGAGACGCTGCCGCTGAGACTGGAGCATGCCACTAAGAGGTGGGGCCTTACCATCAGCCCCACCAAAACTAAGCACCTGCCTGGGTATTTTGTACCATCGGACACTCCACCCCCACAACTCCCAATCGGTGATGGGGCAGTTGTGGAGATAGTGGAGTTTCCCATACCTGGGCAGTGTGCTTATGACCGGCTCCAGTTTAATAGCAGAGGTCTCACTCCGAATGAGTCGAGCGGCAATATCTTTTCATCGGTTGCATAACGCTGTGTGGAAGCTACCTGGTCTGTCGCTCCGCACTAAGCTTCAGGTCTTCTCGGCCACGGTCATTCCCTCTCTTCTCTACGCTTGCGAAACGTGGACCCCCCTAATGGAACATCTTCGCCAGTTAGAAACATTTAGGCTGGCCTGCCTACGATCCATCCTGGGTTTAACCAGATTGGATTGTGTGAGGAGCTCACAAATCCTTGGAAGATCTGGGCAAGGTCCCATCGGTGAGCTCCTCCGGCGGGCAAGGCTGCGATGGCTGGGTCATGTAGCCTGCATGTCCAGCCATCGCATGCCGAAACAGCTTTTGTTCGGCCGGATTGAGGGGGCTAAACGGGCGCGGCACGTGCTAGAGAAGAGATGGAGTGATGTGGTACAGGAGGACGTGGAGCTGAGTGGACTTGCCAATGACTGGTACCAGCGGTGTCAAGATCGGCCTCTGTGGAGGAGGCTCGTGAAGGACGCTACTGGGCAGTTGGAGGTAGTCGCCCTCCAACAACAACGGAGGGCGGAGGAGCGACGCTCACAACAACGAGCGGAGCGCCGGGTGGCTGAAGCACAGCAGGTTGGCACAGTAGGGGGCACAGGTGGTGCATCAGCCAGTCATCTCAGTCAGTCGACCCGTGGCACCTGGGTCTGCCCCGTGACCTCCTGCCAGTGGGCGTTCGACACTTCACGTGGCCTCAGGGTGCACATAGCCTGGCACAAGCGTCGTAGTGACGTCACCGCCACTTAGTGGCGAATGGCGGTTGTTGTTGGTGCAGTGGTTAGCGCACTGTGTGTGTGGGGTGTGGTGGTGCAGTGGTTAGCGCACTGTGTGTGTGTGGGGAGTGGTGGTGCAGTGGTTAGCGCACTGTGTGTGTGTGGGGAGTGGTGGTGCAGTGGTTAGCGCAGTGTCTGTGTGTGGGGAGTGGTGGTGCAGTGGTTAGCGCACTGTGTGTGTGGGGAGTGGTGGTGCAGTGGTTAGCGCACTGTGTGTGGGGAGTGGTGGTGCAGTGGTTAGCGCACTGTGTGTGTGTGTGTGGGGAGTCGTGGCACAAAGTGATGATGACCCTGCTGAGGCTGCGGTGCCTCAAATATTGGAAGAAGTCACCCCCTGTGAGTGGCTGGCTGAGGTGCCATCTGTTGAGGAAGTACTGAAGGCGATCCGGAGTCTGAGACCAGGAAAGGCAACGGGCAGAGATGATCTCCCAAGCGAAATGCTGAGGGAGAGTGGCGTTTGTGCACAGACTGCCCTATATGATATCATAACAACAGTCTGGACCACTGGACGGGTTCCGCAGGATTGGAAGGATGCCCTGGTGGTCCCCTTTTTAAGAAGGGGGACCGCACAGACTGTAACAACTACGGGGGCATCTCACTCCTCAGTGTGCCGGGAAAGGTCCTGGCAAGGATTATTCAACATCGCCTTGCCAGGCACGCTGAGGAGAGGCTTGCGGTGCCCCAATGCGGTTTCAGGAAAGGGTAGTCCTGCACAGATGCCATATTTTCTGTCCGTCTGCTACAGCAGAGGTGTAGGGAATTCCAACAAGACCTACACCTCTGCTTTATTGACCTTGTCAAGGCCTATGATACCATCAGTAGGCCTGGGCTCTGGGTTCTTCGTGCTTTTGGAGTACCTGACCCTCTGCTCACGATCATTAAGGACCTTCATGATGGTGAGCGGGCCCGGGTAAAACTACATGGTCGGGAGTTAGAGCCATTCCCTGTACACCTTGGGGTGCGACAGGGGTGTCCTCTGGCTCCCACATTATTTAACATCTATTTTGACCACGTAGTTCGTGAAGCCTTCAATAGCTGTACCGGGGGAATCTCCATTTGGTACAGATATAATGGGAGGCTGATCGATGCCCGGGTGCGGTCAAGGGATGGCTCCCTATTGCTCAACCACGTTATGTATGCTGATGATTTGGTAATAGCTGCTCATTCAGAGGAGGAGTTGGAGACGCTGCCGCTGAGACTGGAGCATGCCACTAAGAGGTGGGGCCTTACCATCAGCCCCACCAAAACTAAGCACCTGCCTGGGTATTTTGTACCATCGGACACTCCACCCCCACAACTCCCAATCGGTGATGGGGCAGTTGTGGAGATAGTGGAGTTTCCCATACCTGGGCAGTGTGCTTATGACCGGCTCCAGTTTAATAGCAGAGGTCTCACTCCGAATGAGTCGAGCGGCAATATCTTTTCATCGGTTGCATAACGCTGTGTGGAAGTTACCTGGTCTGTCGCTCCGCACTAAGCTTCAGGTCTTCTCGGCCACGGTCATTCCCTCTCTTCTCTACGCTTGCGAAACGTGGACCCCCCTAATGGAACATCTTCGCCAGTTAGAAACATTTAGGCTGGCCTGCCTACGATCCATCCTGGGTTTAACCAGATTGGATTGTGTGAGGAGCTCACAAATCCTTGGAAGATCTGGGCAAGGTCCCATCGGTGAGCTCCTCCGGCGGGCAAGGCTGCGATGGCTGGGTCATGTAGCCTGCATGTCCAGCCATCGCATGCCGAAACACCTTTTGTTCGGCCGGATTGAGGGGGCTAAACGGGCGCGGCACGTGCTAGAGAAGAGATGGAGTGATGTGGTACAGGAGGACGTGGAGCTGAGTGGACTTGCCAATGACTGGTACCAGCGGTGTCAAGATCGGCCTCTGTGGAGGAGGCTCGTGAAGGACGCTACTGGGCAGTTAGAGGTAGTCGCCCTCCAACAACAACGGAGGGCGGAGGAGCGACGCTCACAACAACGAGCGGAGCGCCGGGTGGCTGAAGCACAGCAGGTTGGCACAGTAGGGGGCACAGGTGGTGCATCAGCCAGTCATCTCAGTCAGTCGACCCGTGGCACCTGGGTCTGCCCCGTGACCTCCTGCCAGTGGGCGTTCGACACTTCACGTGGCCTCAGGGTGCACATAGCCTGGCACAAGCGTCGTAGTGACGTCACCGCCACTTAGTGGCGAATGGCGGTTGTTGTTGTTGGTGCAGTGGTTAGCGCACTGTGTGTGTGGGGAGTGGTGGTGCAGTGGTTAGCGCACTGTGTGTGTGTGGGGAGTGGTGGTGCAGTGGTTAGCGCGCTGTGTGTGTGAGGAGCGGTGGCGCAGTGGTTAGTGCACTGCGTGTGTGCATTTGGGGAGCGGCGGTGCAATGGTTAGCGCACCACACTGCGCTACGAAGCCAGCACAGACCCGAGATCAATTCCCGCTCACGGCCAGCAACACCAACGACAGAGAATATGCGACCTGGTTCTGGTGCACCCCCAAGGTTGACTGCTTGGTGCTGTTTGCCTCGCGCCTCACCACGGGTGGGGGGGGGGGTACAAAGGCGGCCGGGCACGGCCTTCAATCGGTGCCACTGGCTTACAATACTTGGCCCAACAACCCCCATCAAGGTTACTTGTTTTTGTGTCGTGCGAAGGTCCCTCAAGCATAGCGAGGGCGGCCCCATTCCAGGGTGGAACCGTGCAGTGATGGTGAGGACCAAGAAGAAGATCACAGGTAGACTCAACACTGCACCGTAGACTCAACACTGCACCGTAGACTCAACACTGCACCGTAGACTCAACACTGCACCGTAGACTCAACACTGCACCGTAGACTCAACACTGCACCGTAGACTCAACACTGCACCATAGACTCAACACTGCACCGTAGACTCAACACTGCACCGTAGACTCAACACTGCACCATAGACTCAACACTGCACCATAGACTCAACACTGCATCATAGACTCAACACTGCACCATAGACTCAACACTGCACCATAGACTCAACACTGCACCATAGACTCAACACTGCACCATAGACTCAACACTGCACCATAGACTCAACACTGCACCATAGACTCAACACTGCACCATAGACTCAACGCTACACCATAGATTCAACGCTGCACCATAGACTCAATGCTGCACCATAGACTCAACGCTGCACCATAGACTCAACGATGCACCATAGATTCAACGCTGCCCCATAGACTCAACACTGCCCCATAGACTCAACACTGTACCGTAGACTCAACGCTGCACCATAGACTCAACACTGTACCGTAGACTCAACACTGCCCATAGACTCAACACTGCCCCATAGACTCAACACTGTACCGTAGACTCACCACTGCCCCATAGACTCAACACTGCACCATAGACTCAACACTGCACCATAGACTCAACACTACTCAGACTCGACACTGCACCATAGACTCAACACCGCACTATGGACTCAACACTGCACCATAGACTCAACACTGCCCATAGACTCAACACCGCACCATAGACCCAACACTGCACCATAGACTCAACACTGCACCATAGACTCAACGCTGCACCATAGACTCAACACTGCACCATAGACTCAACGCTGCACCATAGACTCAACACTGCACCATAGACTCAACGCTGCACCATAGACTCAACACTGCACCATAAACTCAACACTGCCATAGACTCAACACTGCACCGTAGACTCAACACTGCACCGTAGACTCAACACTGCACCGTAGACTCAACACTGCACCGTAGACTCAACACTGCACCGTAGACTCAACACTGCACCGTAGACTCAACACTGCACCGTAGACTCAACACTGCACCGTAGACTCAACACTGCACCGTTGACTCAACACTGCACCATAGACTCAACACTGCACCATAGACTCAGCACTGCATCATAGACTCAACACTGCACCATAGACTCAACACTGCACCATAGACTCAACACTGCACCATAGACTCAACACTGCACCATAGACTCAACACTGCACCATAGACTCAACACTGCACCATAGACTCAACACTACACCATAGATTCAACGCTGCACCATAGACTCAACGCTGCACCATAGACTCAACGCTGCACCATAGACTCAACGATGCACCATAGATTCAACACTGCCCCATAGACTCAACACTGCCCCATAGACTCAACACTGTACCGTAGACTCAACACTGCACCATAGACTCAACACTGTACCGTAGACTCAACACTGCCCATAGACTCAACACTGCCCCATAGACTCAACACTGTACCGTAGACTCAACACTGCACCATAGACTCAACACTGTACCGTAGACTCAACACTGCCCATAGACTCAACACCGCACCATAGACTCAACACTGCACCATAGACTCAACGCTGCACCATAGACTCACCACTGCCCCATAGACTCAACACTGCACCATAGACTCAACACTGCACCATAGACTCAACACTACTCAGACTCGACACTGCACCATAGACTCAACACCGCTCTATGGACTCAACACTGCACCATAGACTCAACACTGCACCATAGACTCAACACTGCCCATAGACTCAACACCGCACCATAGACCCAACACTGCACCATAGACTCAACACTGCACCATAGACTCAACGCTGCACCATAGACTCAACACTGCACCATAAACTCAACACTGCCATAGACTCAACACTGCACCGTAGACTCAACACTGCACCGTAGACTCAACACTGCACCGTAGACTCAACACTGCACCGTAGACTCAACACTGCACCGTAGACTCAACACTGCACCGTAGACTCAACACTGCACCGTAGACTCAACACTGCACCGTAGACTCAACACTGCACCATAGACTCAGCACTGCACCATAGACTCAGCACTGCATCATAGACTCAACACTGCACCATAGACTCAACACTGCACCATAGACTCAACACTGCACCATAGACTCAACACTGCACCATAGACTCAACACTGCACCATAGACTCAACGCTACACCATAGACTCAACGCTGCACCATAGACTCAACGCTGCACCATAGACTCAACGCTGCACCATAGACTCAACGATGCACCATAGATTCAACACTGCCCCATAGACTCAACACTGCCCCATAGACTCAACACTGTACCGTAGACTCAACACTGCACCATAGACTCAACACTGTACCGTAGACTCAACACTGCCCATAGACTCAACACTGCCCCGTAGACTCAACACTGTACCGTAGACTCAACACTGCACCATAGACTCAACACTGTACCGTAGACTCAACACTGCCCATAGACTCAACACCGCACCATAGACTCAACACTGCACCATAGACTCAACGCTGCACCATAGACTCACCACTGCCCCATAGACTCAACACTGCACCATAGACTCAACACTGCACCATAGACTCAACACTACTCAGACTCGACACTGCACCATAGACTCAACACCGCTCTATGGACTCAACACTGCACCATAGACTCAACACTGCACCATAGACTCAACACTGCCCATTGACTCAACACTGCACCATAGACTCAACACCGCACCATAGACTCAATACCGCACCATAGACTCAACACCGCACCATAGACTCAACACTGCACCATAGACTCAATACTGCCATAGACTCAACACTGCCCATGGATTAATATTCTTGGTTTTTTCGGTACAGTCACGTAGAAGGGAAACAATAAAATAATACGTGATATTTTTATTATTTTTATAAATTTATTGTTTCCCTTCTACGTGACTTTACCGTAAGAACTAAGAATATGAATCCCTGCAGTCACGAAAGCTTTTAATAAAAACTGCCCATAGACTCAACACTGCCCATAGACTCAACACTGCACCATAGACTCAACACTGTACCATAGACTCAATACTGCACCATAGACTCAACACTGCACCATAGACTTAACACTGCACCATAGACTCAATACTGCACCATAGACTCAACACCGCACCGTAGACTCAACACCGCACCATAGACTCAACACCGCACCATAGACTCAACACTGCCCATAGACTCAACACTGCACCATAGACTCAACACTGCACCATAGACTCAGCACTGCACCATAGACTCAACACTCCCCGATAGACTCAACACTGCCCCATAGACTCAACACTGCCTATAGACTCAACACTGTACCATAGACTCAATACTGCACCATAGACTCAACACTGCACCATAGACTCAACACTGCACCGTAGACTCAGCACTGCACCGTAGACTCAACACTGCACCGTAGACTCAACACTGCACCATAGACTCAACACTGCACCATAGACTCAACACTGCCCATAGACTCACCATAGACTCAACACTCCCCGATAGACTCAACACTGCCCCATAGACTAAACACTGCACCATAGACTCAACACTGCACCATAGACTCAACACTGCACCATAGACTCAACACTGCACCATAGACTCAGCACTGCACCATAGACTCAACACTGCACCATAGACTCAACACTGCACCATAGACTCAACACTGCACCATAGACCAAACACTGCACCATAGACTCACCACCGCACCATAGACCCAACACTGCACCATAGACTCAACACCGCACCATAGACTCAACACTGCCCCATAGACTCAACACTGCACCATAGACTCAACACTGCACCATAGACTCAACACTGCACCATAGACCAAACACTGCACCATAGACTCACCACCGCACCATAGACCCAACACTGCACCATAGACTCAACACCGCACCATAGACTCAACACTGCCCCATAGACTCAACACTGCACCATAGACTCAACACTGCACCATAGACTCAACACTGCACCATAGACTCAACACTGCACCATAGACTCAACACTGCAACACAGGGTCACACACAATCAGTGCAAATGAGACTCCTATGCTGGTCCCTTTTGAGTTTCCGGCGGCGCGGACTCAACCGGAATCGTGGCATCTTCACACAACGGCGCTCGCTTTGCACTTTGTTCCGAGAGCGCAGCACGGAGCGTGAAGTCCGTGAAGCTCGAGCGAGCCAATGAGACTCCAGAGGAGGAGCTGGAGGAGGCTGCCCAAGATTCCCCCGAGTACCTGGACGACGCGGAGCAAGGCTACATCAAGATGGAGTTCTCGGACGAGGACGTAGACCAAGGTTAGTGGGGGGGGGGGGGGTGGTGAGAAACGTCGCCGTCAATGACGTCGGGCGCGGGGGCGAGGGGCGAGCGCTCGAGTTGACGGTGTCCTGGGCCGAGGCTGAGAGAGCCGTTTCACGTCAGGTGGCGCCGCCGCAGCAGCAGGAGGTCGTGGGTTCGTGTTCAGTCTATGGTGCCGTGTTGAGTCTATGGTGCAGTGCTGAGTCTATGGTGCAGTGCTGAGTCTATGGTGCAGTGTTGAGTCTATGGTGCAGTGTTCAGTCTATGGTGCCGTGTTGAGTCTATGGTGCAGTGCTGAGTCTATGGTGCAGTGTTGAGTCTATGGTGCAGTGTTGAGTCTATGGTGCAGTGTTGAGTCTATGGTGCAGTGCTGAGTCTATGGTGCAGTGTTGAGTCTATGGTGCGGTGTTGAGTCTATGGTGCGGTGTTGAATCTATGGGCAGTGTTGAGTTTATGGTGCAGTGTTGAGTCTATGGTGCAGTGTTGAGTCTATGGTGCAGTGTTGAGTCTATGGTGCAGTGTTGAATCTATGGTGCAGTGTTGAGTCTATGGTGCAGTGTTGGGTCTGTGGTGCAGTGTTGAGTCTATGGTGCAGTGTTGAGTCTATGGTGCAGTGTTGAGGCTATGGTGCAGTGTTGAGTCTGTGGTGCAGTGTTGAGTCTATGGTGCAGTGTTGAGTCTATGGTGCAGTGTTGAGTCTATGGTGCAGTGTTGAGTCTATGGTGCAGTGTTGAGTCAATGGTGCAGTGTTGAGTCTATGGTGCAGTGTTGAGTCTATGGTGCAGTGTTGAGTCTATGGTGCAGTGTTGGGTCTATGGGGCTGTGTTGAGTTTATGGTGCAGTGTTGAGTCTATGGTGCAGTGTTGGGTCTATGGTGCTGTGGTGAGTCTATGGTGCGGTGTTGGGTCTATGGTTCGGTGTTGAGTCTATGGTGCAGTGTTGAGTCTATGGTGCAGTGTTGAGTCTATGGGCAGTGTTGAGTCTATGGTGCAGTGTTGAGTCTATGGTGCGGTGTTGAGTCTATGGTGCAGTGTTGGGTCTATGGTGCGGTGGTGAGTCTATGGTGCAGCGTTGGGTCTATGGTGCGGTGTTGAGTCTATGGTGCAGTATTGAGTCTATGGTGCAGTGTTGAGTCTATGGTGCAGTGTTGGGTCTATGGTGCGGTGGTGAGTCTATGGTGCAGTGTTGGGTCTGTGGTGCAGTGTTGAGTCTATGGTGCAGTGTTGAGTCTATGGTGCAGTGTTGAGTCTATGGTGCAGTGTTGAGTCTATGGTGCAGTGTTGAGTCTATGGTGCAGTGTTGAGTCTATAGTGCGGTGTTGAGTCTATGGTGTGGTGTTGAGTCTATGGTGCGGTGTTGAGTCTGGGAAGTAGTGTTGAGTCTATGGTGCAGCGTTGAGTCTATGGTGCAGTGTTGAGTCTATGGTGCAGCGTTGAGTCTATGGTGCAGTGTTGAGTCTATGGTGCAGTGTTGGGTCTATGGTGCGGTGGTGGGTCTATGGTGCGGTGGTGAGTCTATGGTGCAGTGTTGAGTCAATGGTGCGGTGTTGAGTCTATGGTGCGGTGTTGAGTCTATGGTGCGGTGTTGAGTCTGTGGTGCGGTGTTGAGTCTATGGTGCGGTGTTGAGTCTATGGTGCGGTGTTGAGTCTATGGTGCGGTGTTGAGTCTATGGTGCTGTGTTGAGTCTATGGTGCGGTGTTGAGTCTATGGTGCGGTGTTGAGTCTATGGTGCTGTGTTGAGTCTATGGTGCGGTGTTGAGTCTATGGTGCAGTGTTGAGTCTATGGTGCGGTATTGAATCTATGGTGCGGTGTTGAGTCTATGGTGCGGTGTTGAGTCTGGGAAGTAGTGTTGAGTCTATGGTGCAGCGTTGAGTCTATGGTGCAGTGTTGAGTCTATGGTGCAGTGTTGAGTCTATGGTGCAGTGTTGAGTCTATGGTGCAGTGTTGAGTCTATGGTGCAGTGTTGAGTCTATGGTGCGGTTTTGAGTCTGGGAAGTAGTGTTGAGTCTATGGTGCAGCGTTGAGTCTATGGTGCAGGGTCTGAGTCTATGGTGCAGCGTTGAGTCTATGGTGCAGTGTTGAGTCTATGGTGCAGTGTTGGGTCTATGGTGCGGTGGTGGGTCTATGGTGCGGTGGTGAGTCTATGGTGCAGTGTTGAGTCAATGGTGCGGTGTTGAGTCTATGGTGCGGTGTTGAGTCTATGGTGCGGTGTTGAGTCTGTGGTGCGGTGTTGAGTCTATGGTGCGGTGTTGAGTCTATGGTGCGGTGTTGAGTCTATGGTGCGGTGTTGAGTCTATGGTGCGGTGTTGAGTCTATGGTGCGGTGTTGAGTCTATGGTGCGGTGTTGAGTCTATGGTGCAGTGTTGGGTCTATGGTGCGGTGGTGAGTCTATGGTGCAGCGTTGGGTCTATGGTGCGGTGTTGAGTCTATGGTGCAGTATTGAGTCTATGGTGCAGTGTTGAGTCTATGGTGCAGTGTTGGGTCTATGGTGCGGTGGTGAGTCTATGGTGCAGTGTTGGGTCTGTGGTGCAGTGTTGAGTCTATGGTGCAGTGTTGAGTCTATGGTGCAGTGTTGAGTCTATGGTGCAGTGTTGAGTCTATGGTGCAGTGTTGAGTCTATGGTGCAGTGTTGAGTCTATGGTGCGGTGTTGAGTCTATGGTGTGGTGTTGAGTCTATGGTGCGGTGTTGAGTCTGGGAAGTAGTGTTGAGTCTATGGTGCAGCGTTGAGTCTATGGTGCAGTGTTGAGTCTATGGTGCAGCGTTGAGTCTATGGTGCAGTGTTGAGTCTATGGTGCAGTGTTGGGTCTATGGTGCGGTGGTGGGTCTATGGTGCGGTGGTGAGTCTATGGTGCAGTGTTGAGTCAATGGTGCGGTGTTGAGTCTATGGTGCGGTGTTGAGTCTATGGTGCGGTGTTGAGTCTGTGGTGCGGTGTTGAGTCTATGGTGCGGTGTTGAGTCTATGGTGCGGTGTTGAGTCTATGGTGCGGTGTTGAGTCTATGGTGCGGTGTTGAGTCTATGGTGCGGTGTTGAGTCTATGGTGCGGTGTTGAGTCTATGGTGCGGTGTTGAGTCTATGGTGCGGTGTTGAGTCTATGGTGCAGTGTTGAGTCTATGGTGCGGTATTGAATCTATGGTGCGGTGTTGAGTCTATGGTGCGGTGTTGAGTCTGGGAAGTAGTGTTGAGTCTATGGTGCAGCGTTGAGTCTATGGTGCAGTGTTGAGTCTATGGTGCAGTGTTGAGTCTATGGTGCAGTGTTGAGTCTATGGTGCAGTGTTGAGTCTATGGTGCAGTGTTGAGTCTATGGTGCGGTTTTGAGTCTGGGAAGTAGTGTTGAGTCTATGGTGCAGCGTTGAGTCTATGGTGCAGGGTCTGAGTCTATGGTGCAGTGTTGAGTCTATGGTGCAGTGTTGAGTCTATGGTGCGGTATTGAGTCTATGGTGCGGTGTTGAGTCTATGGTGCGGTTTTGAGTCTGGGAAGTAGTGTTGAGTCTATGGTGCAGCGTTGAGTCTATGGTGCAGGGTCTGAGTCTATGGTGCAGTGTTGAGTCTATGGTGCGGTATTGAGTCTATGGTGCGGTGTTGAGTCTATGGTGCGGTGTTGAGTCTGGGAAGTAGTGTTGAGTCTATGGTGCAGCGTTGAGTCTATGGTGCAGTGTTGAGTCTATGGTGCAGTGTTGAGTCTATGGTGCAGTGTTGGGTCTATGGTGCGGTGGTGAGTCTATGGTGCAGTGTTGAGTCTATGGTGCAGTGTTGAGTCTATGGTGCGGTGTTGAGTCTATGGTGCGGTGTTGAGTCTATGGTGCGGTGTTGAGTCTATGGTGCGGTGTTGAGTCTATGGTGCGGTGTTGAGTCTATGGTACGGTGTTGAGCCTATGGTGCAGTGTTGAGTCTATGGTGCAGTGTTGAGTTTGTGCTTCATCGCTAACCACCACCAGCACCGCCTAACGCTCCCCGCGCTGTGCCGCAGACGAGGCGGCGGCGGCGGCGGGGCCGCTGTGCGAGCGCTGCAAGAAGGACGGCGTGGGCACGGGACGGGGCCGGCTCGGCTCCCACGGCCAGCAGAGCCGACGCGCCTGCGCCCACTGCGGAAAGTCCCTGCACGGCGCCACCTGGTCCATCAACCGGCAGCAGAGGAGGAGGACGGCGACGGTCGAGGAGCGGCGCCTGCGCTCGGCCCGGGCCTCCGTCAAGGGCTCCGCGCAGGCGAACTCGAGCAGCAGCAGCAGCAGCAGCAGCGGCAGCAGCGTCAGCAGCGGAAGCAGCGGCGGCGGCAGCGGCGGCGGGAAGCCGGCGGGCGCGGCGCAGAAGGTGACGAGCGTGACGAGCGAGGTGAGGCACGTGTGCGACGAGTGCGGCAAGCTCTTCTCGCACTACTTCAAGCTGAAGCGCCACGTGAAGACGCACACGGGCGAGAAGCCCTTCTCCTGCAAGGAGTGCGGCCGCGGCTTCACGCGGCGCGCCGTGCTGGAGACGCACGCCAAGATGCACACGGGCGAGCGGCCGCACTCGTGCGCCGAGTGCGGCCGGGCGTTCCTGCACGCGTCGTCGCTGCGCGTGCACGCCAAGAAGCACTCGGGCGAGCGGCCCTTCTCGTGCGGCGAGTGCGGCAAGGGCTTCACGCAGCGCTGCATCCTGGACGCGCACGCCAAGATCCACACGGGCGAGAGGCCGCACGTGTGCGAGGTGTGCGGCCGCGGCTTCCTGCACGCCTCCTCGCTCAAGGCGCACGCGCAGAAGCACACGGGCGAGCGGCCGCACGCGTGCGCCGAGTGCGGCAAGGGCTTCGCGCAGCGCTCGCACCTCAAGAGGCACGCGCGATCCCACTCGGGCGAGAGGCCGCACGTGTGCGACGAGTGCGGCAAGGCGTTCACGCGGCCCTCCATCCTGGCGACGCACGCGCGGACCCACACGGGGGAGTGGCCGCACGCGTGCGACGAGTGCGGCAAGGGCTTCGCGCACCGCTACAACCTGGAGACGCACTACAGGACCCACACGGGCGAGAAGCCGCACGTGTGCAAGGAGTGCGGCAAGGGCTTCTCCTGGATCAACAACCTCAAGAGGCATTCCAAAACGCACTCCGTCGACTGGAGCAATTGAGAGTCGGGACGGCTGGCCGGGTGGCCGCGGGGCGGAGAGGTGGTCGGGAGGTGGTGGTGGTGGTGGTGGTGTTTGCCAGGCGGTGGTGGTGGCCAGGTGGCGGCGGCGGCGGCGGCGGTGGTGGCGGCCGGGGCAAGGCTTTGTTGGAGAAGGAATCCAAACGAAGGAATTTGCGCGAGTCGCTTAAGTGACGGCGGTCACGCCGGCGACTTCCCGATTTCCGGGTTTTCTGAATGACATCTGAAAGATCCGCAAATGATTTTTAGTCCCTCCCCCCTCGTTTGCAAAATGTTGTACGAACCGCCGAGACGGAGCCACCTCCTCGCGTCTGTCACGCTGAGAGACGCGCCGGAGCGCGCTGCGTCCCTAGCCGTGTTGGGACAAAAACAACTCCGGGCCGGTTTTCGACCTCCCCCCCCCCCCCCCCACCCGGGGTTTTCGTCGCGCCGCGGAGCCGAGCTCGTCGCTGGACCTGACGCCGCCGAGGTTGCGGCTGCCGCTGAGGTCGCCCTCCCGCAGGCGCTGCGGACGAGCGGCGCGTTGAGCGGACGCCACGGCGAACTTGGCCGCCGGCCACGGCGAACGTGGCGGCGGTGGAGAGAGAGCGCGGACGTGGCGCCCCCCACCCACCCCCCCGCGGTTTGCGACTCTGTGAAAAGCGCCTCGCGGGTAGGGAAAGAGGCGGCGCAAGCAGCAACAGCAGCAGCAGCAGCCCATACAGCCGCAGATTCTGCAGCAGCGGGGCCAACGTGCAGCAGTTGCGGACTGAGCAGCAGCTGATAATGAATTTCTAGCAGTGGCAGCAGCAGATGCTGCAGCAGCGCAAAACGATTGGACGGCAACAGCTGCCGGGAGCGGATCATGCAGCCGCGGGGAATACTGTGCAGCTGCAGTTCTGTGATAGCAGCCGCTGCGGCAGCAGAATGTGCGGACTTCGAGGGTCCGGTTTGCGTGAAGCCTCGCGTGGCATCCGGACTCGCGTGTCGTGCCGCAGAGGGCGAGCGGGGATCGTGACGGTGCCGGACGAGGGCCGAAAGGTCACGCGCGCCATCAACCAAACGAACACCGGGGTCACGCTGGGCGTGTGACTCGCGCGTCCACGGCCCGCGGACAACCTTCGGCGCAAATGCTGCCGGGTTTTTCCCGGATTATGATTATTAGCGAGAGCACTCCACCCACAGCATTGGGGCCGCATAGCATGGCTGAGGTGGTAAATTAAAAGAGAAAAGTGTTCACTGCATTCTCCGGATTGTACGAAGATGCACTTTGTCCCTCCCCCTGTGTTTTAGACCTTTAACGTTGCCGGGAGGGTTGTCTTATAATCGGGTGCGAGTGTGCGGTGGAGTGGTGGCACATTGGTTAGCTCGCCGCGCTACGAGGCCTGCGACCCAGAGTTCTATTACCAATAACAGTGACTGCGAATACCTTGAACCCGGTCCTGGGTCTCTTCTCCCCCCCCCCGCGTCGAATGAGTACCTGGTGCGGTGTGTGTAGTCAACCTCGGCGCTGGTGAGACAAAGGCAGCCGGGCGTGGTGTTAACCACACCATCCCTCCTCGTGTGCTGCACTTACCATAACAGGCGCTTGCTCGCACCGCTCGTCCTAACAGCCTGTTACAGGCAACGCGGGGGAATGAGGCCAGGTCTGCGCAACTTTGTCGACACTGGGCACACGTTTGGGGTGTGCCTTGCTTTTCCGGAGGGTCTTCCGATCCGGATTGAGACGAGCGTTAGGCGGTCGAGTGAATTGGAAATGGCAAAGGTCAGCCCCGTGATTGGTTTTGGCCTCTCGACGCTACGTGGAAGTTGATCTGTGGCGTTTGCCATCCTCTTGAAACTTGTAGCGGTGTATAACAACCGACGATAATCTTGCACGAATTTAACATAAGATTCGTGAATTGCCTGACGGATTGATTGCATGCATCGTGAAGCATAAGACTTATTTTTGCCGAATCCGTATGACGTGAATATTTACATGCGCGCACACACACACTCACACGGGTATGAGCTCGGTTGTAATATCTGTTGGGATCGGTTTTTGTTGTTTGAATAGTTTTTGAGGAAGTGCTGAACTTGTGACGGAAGCTCGCTCCCGAGTGTGGGCAACAAACAAGTACCTCTTGAAGGTGACATAGATGAGAGTGTTAATGCCTTTCTTGAATTGAGCGAGGTTACTCTGCGAACTTCGGGATGTTGGGGGGGGGGGATTGAGGCGGCGATGATGACGATGAGAGGAGGGAATTCCCAAGTGGAGTAGTGCAAGGGAAGAAGCATTCGAAGAAGTGTTTGTGACTTTGTAGTGTGGTGCGTGAGTGAATTATGGAGCGAGTGGGTGAGTGAGTGAGTGGGTGGGGATGGGTTGGGTGAGTTTGTGAGTTGTTGTGACCGGCAGGTGCGGTCGTTGGACAATGTGATGGGTGAGATGAAACAGTCTGGTGGTCCGGGTCCTCAACATGGATAGAGGAATTATTGGGTGAGGTTCACGGAATTGGTGGCCCCCGGGTGTTGTTTTTCGAGAGAGGTGGAATAAAGCAGAAGTTGGCCCTGGAAGATGGCCTCAGAACTAATTCTGAATCCCCTTGAGACTCTGTGAGGCTTAATTATACTTAATGAAATTAAGTATCATTTATTGCAATACACACACTGGGACTCCAAACAAAGACAACAAACGGGACCGAATTATTATTCTAGTGGGAGAAACCGCCATTGCCAGTCTGTCCGACTCAGCTGACTGGTTTGTTACTTGATGTATCAGACCTCTCCTTAAGTTCGTGGGAGAATCTTTAGCGGATGTGCCGAGCATTTGGCTGTGTGGTTCCTCCTAAGAGAAAGCTGACATGTGTTACACAGCCATCGGCAATGCACCGTGTTTCGGTTGGGATCGTATCTCATTAGCAGCGACGCCTTCAGATGCTTTACAGGAAGGCGGATGGATGCAGCAATACCACTTGTTATTTGGTACAGCATGCTGCCACAGAGATTGGCAACGGACTTTTGGAACGGCCACACGGCTTGCAAATTGACGGCTGGGTTCATTGGGCGTTCGGCCACGTTTGTTCTCGGCCGATGAGTTGCTTTGTTGCCGCTGTTCAGCGGTCTTGGTGGATGACAGCCACCCATGGTGTTTGTTCTGCTCCGCGTGGATCACAGTGACACTGGTGAGATGTTAAACAATACGGGGTAGGGCAAGAGTCGGTGAAAACGTGGGAGAGAGAGAGGCTAACACGGGTACGGCCCCCATCGCCCTTTGAGGCCATTTGTCTATGGGTGTTGGTGCAGTTGGGTTGGGCAAATTGCGGGTATAAGGTCAGGTGATGGCCAGAGTACAGAACGTGCTACGACATAGTAGCAATGTCCTAAGTTCGGTTTAAGATCCGATTTTCTCTTAACTCAAAGTAAATAGAGCATTACGACGATGAAACGTACGTTTGGTCTGGAGCACTCGTCACAATAACGCAGCCTAATGACAATAACAACGCTAAAATCAACATTACTAACAAACCAGCTGGGATTTACCGAGTGATGACGTGCCGGCAATGTTGCAATTGGGACGTCGCGGTGGCCATGTTGTTTGAGAGAAAGTCACCTTGGTCATGACGCTTGAGGGTTGTCTTGAGAAGCGATTGTCTGGTCCAGTGAGAGTGATGGTGCAACCCCTAGCAACGTGGCCATGACGCCTGAGGGTTGTCTTGACAAGCGATTGTCTGGTCCGGTGGGAGTGATGGTGCAGTCCCTAGCAACGTGGCCATGACGCCTGAGGGTTGTCTTGACAGGCGATTGTCTGGTCCAGTGGGAGTGATTGTGCAACCCCTAGCAACGTGGCCATGCCGCCTGAGGGTTGTCTTGACAAGCGATTGTCTGGTCCAGTGGGAGTGATGGTGCAACCCCTAGCAACGTGGCCATGCCGCTTGAGGGTTGTCTTGACAGGCGATTGTCTGGTCCAGTGGGAGTGATGGTGCAACCCCTAGCAACGTGGCCATGCCGCTTGAGGGCTGTCTTGACAGGCGATTGTCTGGTCCAGTGGGAGTGATGGTGCAGTCCCTAGCAACGTGGCCATGACGCTTGAGGGTTGTCTTGATAGGCGATTGTCTGGTCCAGTGGGAGTGATGGTGCAGTCCCTAGCAACGTGGCCATGACGCCTGAGGGTTGTCTTGACAGGCGATTGTCTGGTCCAGTGGGAGTGATGGTGCAACCCCTAGCAACGTGGCCATGCCGCGTGAGGGCTGTCTTGACCAGCGATTGTGTGGTCCAGTGGGAGTGATGGTGCAACCCCTAGCAACGTGACCATGCCGCCTGAGGGTTGTCTTGACAGGCGATTGTCTGGTCCAGTGGGAGTGATGGTGCAGTCCCTAGCAACGTGGCCATGCCACCTGAGGGCTGTCTTGACAGGCGATTGTCTGGTCCAGTGGGAGTGATTGTGCAACCCCTAGCAACGTGGCCATGATGCTTGGGGGTTGTCTTTACAGGTGATTGTCTGGTCCAGTGGGAGTGATGGTGCAGTCCCTAGCAACGTGGCCATGCCGCCTGAGGGCTGTCTTGAGAAGCGATTGTCTGGTCCAGTGGGAGTGATTATGCAGTCCCTAGCAACGTGGCCATGACGCCTGAGGGTTGGCTTGATAGGCGATTGGCTGGTTCAGTGGGAGTGATTGTGCAGTCCCTAGCAACGGCTCTTACGAGTGTATGGCTGTCACGATCTCAGTACGACACCCATACTTTGACTTTGGATACGTTTTTTTCTACTTGTGACATGTTATGATCGCTCTATAATTTTAGACTGCCCGTCAGGGGTCGTGGGAGTGATGACGTCACCCTGAACAACGGGCAGTCCGGGACTTGAGAGAATTACGAGCTCACTGCGACTCGTCACGTAACTTTAAGGAGTCGCGATCTCGCTACCGGACTCCTTTAACATTACTTTGACTTACAATCAGTTTTCTCCTAAGCAACGAATCTTATTTGAGTTGAGAGTGTTACGATTTCACCACTACGTCATATGTAAAGTTCAAGTAATAACATTCTCACTACGACACACTCATTTTACATTACTTTGATTTGCAATCAGTTTTCTCTTAAGGAATCTTACTTTCGTTAAGAGTTAACGATCTCACTGCGACATATGTAAGTTTAAGGCGTTACAATCTCACTACAGTGCCCAACTTTTACCTGACTTTGACTCGCGATCAGTTTCCTCTTCAGCAAGGACTTTTACTTTTAGACAGAGTTATGACCTATATAAGTTTATGGAGTTATGATCACACTACAACGTCCCCGTTCCACAGTTCTTTGACTTACGGATTCGCCTCCTCTTCCGTCAGTTTTCATCGTACCATCATTTGTAGCCTGGCGGACTTAGCGCGAATCTTAAGGGCGTTTGATGTACTCTAGCCCCCAGAGGTAGGTTAACAGGTGGGGCGGCGAGAGTAAATCTACAATATGGAAAGAAGAAAAAGCAAAGTAGATTGGTCGTGGAGTGGAGGGCTGTGGACAGGCATTGTTTGGGCAGCAGTAATCTCATTTATATTGATTTATTTTGTTCTCCTGCTTTTTACTGGGGTTGCCGGCTTCCTACTGGCGCCCATAGCGCACACTCGTCCAACGCAAAGAGTGGATTTATCGAACAGCGACGCGTGATGAAAATCTCTCGCGATAAGATACGATCCCCTTCCAAATACGTCTGGCAGCGTGGAAGAGTAGGCCATTTATACCCCCCCCCCCCCCCACCGTTTAGAGCTTCCTCTTGTGAATGCTCCTTCCACAAGCAGCGGCGTGAGTGGGCAGTTGCAGGTCTGAAACATCTACAATACGATATGACATTTCGCGACTTGACGGTTATCGCGATATCGCTTGCTCCATGAACGACTCTGTAATTGTGTTTCACGATTCGTGTCGTGTTTATGTGATTTGCTGTACCGCCCCACGAATAAAGATTCACGCGCGCGAGTTCATTAAATCACCGTTAATGCAACACGGGCCTCCCACGAGTCGTCTGTCATTGCGATGCCATAGTCCGCTTCGTGCATATTTGTCGTCGTCGTCGGCGGCGGCAGTCGTCCCTCTTGGTTCGAGGATGATGTCCATCAAGTTCGGTGGCGGCTCTTGAGGTGGCTGATGAGTCCCAGTTGTGGATCTGCAGATTTTTGGGCACGAGGAGCCACGCGGTCTCCCGGGTGGAAGTGGGGATCCGCAGTGCCCCGTTGGCTTCCTTTTCCTTTCTCTTTTTGGCGGCGATTCAAACCTCCGGCGTCGAGACGTTGGGTCTCGAAGTGGGCCATGGATGTTGCAGCCGTAGAGCTGGGCGGGGGGGGGAATCCTCGATCCCGGTGCGGGTGCCCAAAGAACCATCCACGCGTTTTGCCTCCTGCGTGCGGAGTCTTGACCGAGGGCTTCGAGGTTTCACGGGCCCAGCCTCCTTCGCCAATCGTCCCATCGCCTGCTGTGACTTTTCCTGACCTGGCGAAAGCCTGCGTTGGGGGGTTGATTTACGTGGGTTGGGGGGGGGTCTCCCGGTGCGCGAGGGGTGGGATCGACGCCACCTTGACGCATTTGGGTGGCCGAGTCGAGTGGCTCGACTCAGCCACCTTGACGCGTTTGGGTGGCTGAGTCGAGGCAACCGGAGCCACTTCCAGCCTTCGTCGTCCGCCTTCGCAGCCGTTGAGACCCAAAGCCCCCCCCCCCCGTCCACATGTTCCACAGCCATGGAGGACTTCTTGTATAGCTTTTAGTCTGGAACCTCTCGTTTCGCTTTGCCGCCAGGCTCCCGAGGACTTCGCTCTTGGGATCGGTGGAACGCCCAAACCTCTCCACTACGACAAGGTGGCGATCCTCGGGGATTACTGTTGCGACGACACCGCCCTCGGTAGGGTAAAACTCGCCTGTCCCACGGCGGTATAGATCCAGCTCGTGTTCCCCATTAGTTGGGGGGGGAACAATCCAACGCTTGGTGAATTCTGCTTCGCAATGACAGGAAGAGCCGACGTTGAAGGAACGCTTGGCCGCCACAAGCCAGTTTACCCCTGTGGTAACTTTTACGACACCTCTTGCTTTTTAACTCTAAGTTAATAAGTAATATTTAAACAAATTTAAAAAAAAACAAAAACACGCTTTAATGAAATGTACCCTACTAGTAATGGCAGAACTTCACGATTCCAGGAAGTGGCCGAGAAGCTTTGCCACAACGTAAGGGGACCGTGGTGATTTACAGCCAACGTCAGTTGAGCGTGGACAATTAGACCCAAGCCGAAACATAACATACACAAAATAATGTTTAAAAATATGTATATTTTTATGATAGAATATAGTGTTGTCATCGGTGTGACACAAGTATACCAAGTTTACAGTCGATACCGCATTGGGAAGTGGGTTAACATTGAGTTACAAGATTTGAGGATACAACAACAACAGACAGTGAGTTAATAAAAAGCGTGTAAAAGATTGTTTAAAAATTGTATTTTTTATTTTAATGATAGAATCTAGTATTGTTATCGGTATGACATTAGTATACCAAGTTTGCAGTCGATACCGCATTGGGAAGTGGGTTAATATTTGTTGCAAGATTTGAGGATACAACAACAGACAGTGAGTTCATAGAAAGCGTGTAAAAATATATATTCTTGGTTATTTCGGTAAAGTCACCACGTAGAAGGGAAACAATACAATAATTAAAATATATATAAAACAATAAAATTCTCGCGACGTTTCGACTGCAACACAAGCAATCATCATCAGGTGTGAAAACCACAGCAAGAAAAAAGCGTGTCAAAACATCGCGAGACCCCGTTTTCACGGTCTGCACTCGTATTGAAAATGAAGATCAAGTGAACTTTGTGCCCTTCTGCTCCCTGGGAGGCTTCTTTCCTCCCCGAGCTCGCCTTAGGGAACCTGCATTACCGTTTGACAGGCGTGTACCGCCCAGCGTTACAGATTGCGTGACACGTGCTATCATGCGACGTATGGACGTTCCACTTCCATCGCACCGTAAGTAGCCAAACGTGCGAATTGACGGCGCGATCTGTAACTCATCGTGGTAATGCTGTCGGACAAAAGCTAAGATCCCCCGTGCAGCCGTACAAGTTTTGGAGAGGGTGCTGTTAGCGAGTAGCAGCTAAGAAGGTCGGCCAGAATCGCCACCAGCCCCCTTTGTCTCCTCGATGGGCGACGTTTATTTACACACCGCACCAGGTACTCATTGTTGAAGCTGAATCGACTCAGGGGAGGTCCAGGACCGGTTCCCGTGAAAGCGATCGCTGTCCTTGGTGTTAGCCATGAGCAGGAATCGACATTTGATATCTGCCGGGTTCGTATCGCAGCGCTCACCGCTGCGCCACCGCTCCCCACACGCTGTCAGTCGCTCTAGAGAATGAATCAAATAATAGATAAGCAGACTATATATATACATCTTCATACATTTGACTCTGCACGATCTAAATACGGAGTAAACACCTTGGATTGCGAGTAACTTGGTCTGCGAGCGTTTTGCAAGACGAGCAATTTTTTTTTCTCTAAATGAATATTAATTTGATATACGAGCGAGGGTCTTGCATTACGAGCAGTGTACTGCCGAGCATCACGTGATCACAACTGATTATACGACGGGTGCTTTGATGTACGAATGCTTTGATGTACGAGTACTTTGGATTACAAACACGTTTCGGGAACGAATTGTGCTCGCAATCCAAGGTCTTACTGTATTTTATTTTGCACATCCCGTCAGCCACACAGCCTCCTAGGGGTTAATCATTTTAACAGCATTTGTTCAACACAATGCTAGACCGGTTTTGATTTACGACGCCTCATCAGTAGGACGATGTGAGTATTGCCATTATTCGTCTGCGCAGTGTTGAGTCTGGTGCAGTGTTGAGTCTATCGTGCAGTATTGAGTCTATGGTGCAGTGTTGGGTCTATGGTGCAGTGTTGAGTCTATGGTGCAGTGTTTAGTCTATGGGCAGTGTTGAGTCTATGGTGCAGTATTGAGTCTATGGTGCAGTGTTGGGTCTATGGTGCGGTGTTGAGTCTATGGTGCAGTGTTGAGTCTATGGTGCAGTTTTGAGTCTATGGTGCGATGCTGAGTCTATGGTGCAGTGTTGAGTCTATGGTGCAGTGTTGAGTCTATGGTGCAGTGTTGAGTCTATGGTGCAGTGTTGAGTCTATGGTGCAGTGTTGAGTCTATGGTGCAGTTTTGAGTCTATGGTGCAGTTTTGAGTCTGTGGTGCAGTGCTGAGTTTGTGGTGCAGTGTTGAGTCTGTGGTGCAGTGTTGAGTCTGTGGTGCAGTGTTGAGTCTGTGGTGCAGTGTTGAGTCTGTGGTGCAGTGTTGAGTCTGTGGTGCAGTGTTGAGTCTATGGGCAGTGTTGAGTCTATGGTGCAGTGCTGAGTCTATGGTGCAGTGTTGAGTCTATGGTGCAGTGTTGAGTCTATGGTGCAGTGTTGAGTCTATGGTGCAGTGTTGAGTCTATGGTGCAGTGCTGAGTTTATGGTGCAGTGTTGAGTCTATGGTGTAGTGTTGAGTCTATGGTGCAGTGTTGAGGTGCAGTGTTGAGTCTATGGTGTAGTGTTGAGTCTATGGTGCAGTGTTGAGTCTATGGTGCAGTGTTGAGTCTATGGTGCAGTGTTGAGTCTATGGTGCAGTGTTGAGTCTATGGTGCAGTGTTGAGTCTATGGTGCAGTGTTGAGTCTATGGTGCAGTGTTGAGTCTATGGGTAGTGTTGAGTCTATGGGGCAGTGTTGAGTCTATGGTGCAGTGTTGAGTCTATGGGTGGTGTTGTCTTGTACCCCATCTTGCCTTCTGCTTCTCTTGTTCCACATCCTTTCGTCTTGTTCCGCATCTTGCTGCTAAACTCCCCACCCCCCCCTCCACTCTGTCCGGTCAACTCGTGCTGCTTTTTGTTGCCCGCTTGACGTTTCGCTTCGTGGAACTTATCCACCGCTGGATGAGAGGGCCACGTGACAGCCTGACCATACTTCACCACGCAGGTCAGCCACAGAGGTGCGGTGCTGTGCAAGGTGCAGGCCCAGCCCCGCAATCGCTACCAACTCTTGCAAGAGACCCACAGATTCATGTGGAGGAGACCCATCTCCATATATATGAAAGGCAAAGTTGTGAATGTGTGTCTGTTCAAAATGTTTAGCGTACTTCCCGACATGCAACAAACTGCACTTTTTCTACGTGGGTACTTTCCAGACTGTACACCGTGCAAAAAATATTTTTAAAAATACACTTTTTTGGGGGGGGGAGGGGGGGGTGGAGCTCAATAATGCATTTTTTTGCACGGCAAGTGAGCTGTGACGTCAAATCTGTCACGTGACCCGCGCACGTGGAAGCGTAACGCATTGTAGTGTAGCGGTTAGCGCGCTGTCTGTATCTGTGTGTCTGTGTGTGTGTATCTGTGTGTGTGTCTGTGTGTGTGTGTGTCTGTGTGTGTGTATCTGTGTTTAACTCGTGGTTTCGTGGTAATTAATTGAAGGTCCTGGCAAGGATTATGCAGCATCGCCTTGCCAGGCACGCTGAGGAGAGGCTTGCGGAGCCCCAATGCGGTTTCAGGAAAGGGCGGTCCTGCACAGATGCCATATTTTCTGTCCGTCTGCTACAGCAGCGGTGTAGGGAATTCCAACAAGACCTACATCTCTGCTTTATTGAACTGGTCAAGGCCTATGATACCATCAGTAGGCCTGGGCTCTGGGTCGTTCTTCGTGCTTTTGGAGTACCTGACCCTCTGCTCACGATCATTAAGGACCTTCATGATGGTGAGCGGGCCCGGGTAAAACTACGTGGCCGGGAGTCAGAGCCATTCCCTGTACACCTTGGGGTGCAACAGGGATGTCCTCTGGCTCCCACATTATTTAACATCTATTTTGACCACGTAGTTCGTGAAGCCTTCAATAGCTGTACCGGGGGAATCTCCATATGGTACAGATATAATGGGAGGCTGATCGATGCCCGGGTGCGGTCAAGGGATGGCTCCCTATTGCTCAACCACGTTATGTATGCTGATAACTTGGTAATAGCTGCTCATTCAGAGGAGGAGTTGAAGACCCTGCTGCTGAGACTGGAGCGTGCCACTAAGAGGTGGGGCCTTACCATCAGCCCCACCAAAACTAAGCACCTGCCTGGGTATTTTGTACCATCGGACACTACACCCCCACAACTCCCAATCGGTGATGGGGCAGTTGTGGAGAGAGTGGAGAGTTTCCCGTTCATGGACAGTGTGCTTATGACTGGCTCCAGTTTAACAGCAGAGGTCTCACTCCGAATCAGTCGAGCGGCAATATCTTTTCATCGGTTGCGTAACGCTGTGTAGAAGCTACCTGGTCTGTCGCTCCGCACTAAGCTTCAGGTCTTCTCGGCCACGGTCATTCCCTCCCTTCTCTACGCTTGCGAAACGTGGACCCCCCTAATGGAACATCTTCGCTGGTTAGAAACATTTAGGCTGGCCTGACTACGATCCATCCTGGGTTTAACCAGACTGGATTGTGTGAGGAGCTCACAGATCCTTGAAAGATCTGGGCAAGGTCCCATCGGTGAGCTCCTCCGGCGGGCAAGGCTGTGATGGCTGGGTCATGTAGCCCGCATGCCCAGCCACCACATGCCGAAACAGCTTTTGTTCGGCCGGATCGAGGGGGCTAAACGGGCGCGGCACGGGCTAGAGAAGAGATGGAGTGATGTGGTACAGGAGGACGTGGAGCTGAGTGGACTTGCCGATGACTGGTACCAGCGGTGTCAAGATCGGCCTCTGTGGAGGAGGCTCGTGAAGGACGCTACTGGGCAGTTGGAGGTAGTCGCCCTCCAACAACAACGGAGGTCAGAGGAGCGACGCTCACAACAACGAGCGGAGCACCGAGTGGCTAAAGCACAGCGGGTTGGCACAGTAGGGGGCACAGGTGGTGCATCAGCCAGTCATCTCAGTCAGTTGACCCGTGGCACCTGGGTCTGCCCGTGACCTCCTGCAAGCGGGCGTTCGACACTCCACGTGGCCTCAAGGTGCACATGTCCTGGCACAAGCGTCGTAGTGACGTCACCGCCACTTAGTGGCGAATGGCGGTTGTTGTATCTGTGTGTGTGTCTGTGTGTGTGTATCTGTGTGTGTATCTGTGTGTGTATCTGTGTGTGTGTCTGCGTGTATTTTATTATTTTAACCGGTCCTTGGCCTCCCCTAGGTTGACTCAGCCTCAAACGAGTAACTGCTCTGCTGTGTGAACATCGCCACTGGGGAGACAAAGGCGGCCGGGCATGGTGGATCCAAGTCCCGGGCGAAGCCGGGTAGCACAGCTAGTACACATATATATTACCTTTTCGACTAATATACTTATATATAAACCTATACACTAATATACTTATATATAAACCTATACACTAATATAGAGTCAGCATGTACTACTGCGGTGATTGCAGGTACCACCACAGTATGCACTGCTGTAGTGAAAGCAGGTACCACCGCAGTATTCACTGTTGTAATCATAGCAGGTACCACCACAGTCAGTATGCACTGCTGTAATCATAGCAGGTACCACTACAGTCAGTATGCACTGCTGTAATCATAGCAGGTACCACCGCAGTCGGTATGCACTGCTGTAGTGATAGCAGGTACCACCACAGTCGGTATGCACTGCTGTAGTGATAGCAGGTACCACCACAGTCGGTATGCACTGCTGTAGTGATAGCAGGTACCACCACAGTCGGTATGCACTGCTGTAGTGATAGATGGTAACCACCACAGTCGGTATACACTGCTGTAATCATAGGTACCACCACAGTCAGTATGCACTGCTGTAATCATAGCAGGTACCACCACAGTCGGTATGCACTGCTGTAATCATAGCAGGTACCACCACAGTCAGTATGCACTGCTGTAGTGATAGCAGGTACCACCACAGTCGGTATGCACTGCTGTAGTGATAGTAGGTAACCACCACAGTGGTTACCTACTATCTGCAAGCGGGTCTCGCCCGCCTGCAGATGAGATGGGGAGCCGTTCTGGTGAGGTGAGCCCCGATGGGCTGGCTCCGGTGAGCCGACCGAACTCAGCTCCGATGGGCCGGCTGAACTGATGATGAGTCGAGCCGACCCGCCGGTCGCAGCTCGCTCCTGAGCCGACCCACCGGTCGAACTGAGGTTTCGATGGGCCGGCTCCGGTGAGCCGGCCGAACTCCTCCGAGTTCCGACCGAACTGAGGTTTCAATGCTGCAGGGTCCACTCTTTATGCCAAAAATCCCTTCACTTGGATCCTGCCCACAAGGCGGAGCTTCTTCCGATTTTGCTGTGTCATGATCTGTCCATATGTGTGTGTCCGTACGTGTGTCAGTGTGTGTCCTTGTGTGCGTCACCCACGGCCAATACCGCTGTCCTCCTTCCATAAACCATCAAAAAGTAAAACAACCAGATGTTACAAATTGTCTCGAAGGCGTATCTTGGTCTGCCTCTCTGTCTGCCGGTGCGAGAGGGAGGGCAAGCTTCCCCCCCTGCATCATGTCCCCGACACACAAGGGAATGGTTAAAAAGTTTTAAGTTAACATTTCATTTCACCACCGTTCCACAGTTATGATTTGCTACGTAACACAAGGTCTGTGTCAGCTTTCCGTCGTGGTGTTTGACTCATGTCAAGGGAAGGTGCTCCCTTAAGCGTAAGCATATTCTTATCATGTACTGCAGGGATACAAAGGCGGCCGGGATCTCCCTTTCTCTCTGACCCTGGGTTTAACATCGCCCAAGTCATGCAGTTTATGTTTAGCAAAGTTGTGTAAACGTAGTATAGTTTTCGGTGAATAGCGCCAACATGAATGTTATGTATGAAATGATGTATTGTGAATTTTATTTATTAACTTTGCCTTGTGTTTTCGCTGACATGCTGGCATTCCAAGCATCTCTTTTCTGCTCGCCCTTATTCCTGCTCGCGCGGGGTCCGCCACCCTTTGCCCCCACTCTCTCTACCCGCCCGTTGTGGCCGCTGTCTCGCTGACGCCGCCAATTCAAGGCCTCATTAATTTCCGTCACTCCATGTAGGTGAGGGAGTGTTAGTTATCGCCGTTTTCGGCCTTGTTGAGTGCAGGTGTCAGTGACAATGAGTTGTTTGATTCATGCCACTCTTATTCTTATCTCTAGTGTCCCGATGTCAGCTTCACAAGCTGGCATTCATTTGCCTCTCTTTCCACGCCCATGGGTTTTTCCAGGCTCTTTGCTTACGTTTGCAGTTTTGCTGTGCTCTTGTTTTTTCCCCTCTCTAATCTTATATTAACTCTGCTTATTATTCGCTTATGGCTGGAGGTTAGAGCATTCATTTTGACTTAGGAAAATTCTGATTGTCATACGCTTCGGGTCAAGTTGTATAGAAAGTATTAAAACATGGAAACAACATTTCATTTCGAATTAATAGATGGGTGATGGCTCGCTATGTAGCTTGTGGCCTGGTTTAATTGGAGTGGGTGTGAAGATTAATAACTTTAGCCTACCCTGTTGTTAAATTCCGAACTTTAATGTTACTTTGATAGCAATGCAGAATAAATTAGCTTTTTGACTTAACTATGTCTAGGCTAACGCAAACTCTTGGTGACCCTAGGCTCCTTTGCATTTACGTCAGTCTCCTGCAATTCGCTGTGCTCTGCTCTGTCTGCTCCCTCTGGCCCTGGGAGTTTGTGAACTGTCACCAGTAGGTCATGGCAAATGGCTTTTCATGACCTCCACATGCCATGCTGAGGCCTGGGTTGGTGTTGTTTTTATTCATTATTAAAATTAAATATAAACAACAGAAATATGTATCTATATGTATCGGAAAATTACCTGTTAATATTAAGGTGGAAAAAGGGGGGGCATATATACAACATGACGTCACCGCCACGTCGCGGTGAACGGCGGTCGTTGTTGAGTGAATGGGTCCGGTGGTGGCGAGGAGGCCGCAAGACGGGCGCTGTTGTTTGTTTCAGCTGCCTCGCCACGAGATCGGACGGCTCCTCAGATGGCTTCGCCACTTCCTGCACCTCCTCCTCCTCCGCTCATCAAACGAGAGACCGATGACGAGGAGAACCCAGGCACTGGAAGGAGTCCTGAGCTGCCGGTGAAACGTGAAGACGCCGCCGCTGATGACGGCGACGATGAAGCAGCCGGTGAGATCGCTCGGCTCGTCTCCTGTCACCGTCAGCTGGTTTGGACCAGGGGTGGTGAACCGCCTGAGACAGCGAGAGAGAGACACCCAGACCCAGGGCTTGAACCCAGCCTCTCTGTGTCTCTGGCTTGGTCATCATGAACCCCCTGAGACAGAGAGAGACACCCAGACCCAGGGATCGAACCCAGCCTCTCTGTGTCTCTGACTCGGTCATCATGAACCCCCTGAGACAGAGAGAGACACCCAGACCCAGGGCTTGAACCCAGCGTCTCAGTGTCTCTGGCTTGGTCATCATGAACTCTTGAGAGACAGCTAGAGACACCCAGACCCAGGGCTTGAACCCAGCCTCTCTGTGTCTCTGGCTTGGTCATCATGAACCCTCTGAGAGACAGAGAGAGACACCCAGACTCAGGGCTTGAACCCAGCGTCTCAGTGTCTCTGGCTTGGTCATCATGAACCCCCTGAGACAGAGAGAGACACCCAGACCTAGGGCTTGAACCCAGCATCTCCGCGTCTCTGGCTCAGCCACCGTCTCCCTGAGCCTCTCGGTCTCCTCTCGTCAGTGCAGCAACAGCAGCAGCAGCAGCGTGTGTGTGTGCAGCAGCAGGAGCGTGTGTGTGTGCGTGCAGCAGCAGCAGCGTGTGTGTATGTGCAGCAGGAGCAGCGGTGAAGCAGGAGGAGGGTGAGGGCCCTCTGGGCCGCGAGATCGTGAGGACGCTGGTGAAGAGCGAGGTGGAGGAGGAGGACGGTGAGTGAGGCAGCGAGAGAATTTTACTTTGCGCAGTGATGGCAGAAACCTTGACAAGATATTTCCAGAGGGGCCAAACATCTTGTGTCTCTCTCCTCGCCAGCTTGAGCCATCGGTTGCGCAACTGAATCAGTGTGGATCCCGCACGCCCCACGCCCGACGATGCACTCTGTCACCCGCAGCTCCAGACCTGAAGATCGTTAAGGTTGAAGACGCAACCGAGATTTCGGATGAGGCGGCGGCGGATTCCCGCGATGGGCGTCCGGAAGCACCGGATCGGAACTTCGTCGAGGTTGAGTTGTCCGAAGAGGACGACGTCGGTGGAGGTGAGAGTTCCCCCGGTGATTGCCTCACGCGCAGAGAGACAAAGATCCCCCGTGTAGCCCCTAACGGGCTGTTGGAGCGAGTGCCGTTAGCGAGTGGCGCCGTGGGAAGGCCGCCGCGTTGCGAGCGCGGAGGCACGGGAATCTAACCGGCCCCCGGCGGATTCGGGTACCTCGGAGGCTCGCGAGGCACCGGTCGGCCGGCCTCCCCCCGTGACGGAGCCGTGCGCTGTGCGTTCCCCAAACCGTGCGGCGGCGGCGGCGGCCGCGGCAGACGGAGCCCGCCCGAGGACGCGGCACGACCTGGCGACGCGCGCGCCGAGCCGCGCGGGCGAGCGGCCGCACGCCTGCGGCGACTGCGGCCGCCGCTTCGCGCGGCGCGGCGACCTGAGGAGGCACGGGCGGACGCACGCGGCCGGCGGCAGGGAGAAGCCGCACGCCTGCGGCGACTGCGGCCGCCGCTTCGCCCGGCGCGGCGACCTGTGGAACCACGCGCGGACCCACGCGGCGGCGGATTCCCGCGACGGGCGCCCGGAAGCGCCGGACCGGAACTCCGTCGAGGTTGAGTCGTCCGAAGGGGAGGACGACGTCGGTGGAGGTGAGAGTTCCCCCCGGTGATTTGCGTGACGCGCAGAGAGGCAAAGGTCCCCCGTGTAGCCCCCTAACGGGCTGCTGGGGCGAGTGCCGTTAGCGAGTGGCGCCGTAGGGAGGCCGCCGCGGTACACGAGGGGGCGGGGTGGCCGTGCCTGGCCGCCTTTGACGCCCTAGTGGCAGTGTTTTCTAAGCACCGCGCCAGGTGTTCATTTGAGGTTGAGTTGACCTAAGCGGAGACCCAGGTCCGGTTCACGTAATCGCCACTGGTGGTGGCGCTGGTGGTGGCCGTGAGCGGGAATGGAATTGCGGTCTCCGCCGGGTTCGTAGCGCGGCGTAGCGCTAACCGCTCCACCGTGAAAGCGCATCATTACTCTTTGGCGTCTTTCTCTGGTCTCTCACCGTTTTTGACTGGGCTCTGAAGAAAGCTGTCTCTGGTGTGGACCAATCACTTTCAAAGACAATGCATCAGATACTATCAGAGCAGTGTGTTTTCTTTTTGTATTTTCGCCACGGCAGTGGGACTGCTGAGCCAAGCAGTTCTGCTGCTGGATTATTTTTTTCCGCCTGAGGACGACCGCTTGTGTTGCGATCGAAACGTCGTGATGTATATTATTATTATTCCTTGTTTCATTTTTATTTTTCTAACCACGCGACTTTACCGAAGGAACCAAAGGGTTGGGATTCCCGCAGTCACGAAAGCTTCAAATCAAGGTGGGGCCTTTTACCATCAGCCCCACCAATAATAGCACCTGCCTGGGTATTTTGATCCATCAAACACTCCACCCCCCCACAACTCCCCATTGGCGATGGAGCAATTGTGGAGAGAGTTGAGAGTTTTCCTCACCTGAGCAGCGTGCTCATGACCAGCTCTGGTTTAACAGCAGACATCTCACCACGAATGATTTGGGCGGCATCAATTCGTCGGCCGCGTAACGCTGTGTGGAAGGTACCTGGTCTGTTGCTCCACACGAAGCTTCGGGTCTTCTCGGCCACGATCATTCCCTCCCTTCTCTTTGACTGTGAAACGTGGACCCCTCTAATTGAACATCTTCGCCAGTTATAAACATTCAGGCTGGCCTGCCTACAATCCATTCTAGGTTTAACCAGGCTGGATTGTGTGAGGAGCTCACAGATCCTTGAAAGATCTGGACAAAGTCTCATCAGTGAGCTCCTTTTGGCAGGCAAGGCTGCATTGGCTGGGTCACGTAGCCCGCATGCCCAGCCACTGCATGCCCAGCCACTGCATGGCCAAGTAACTTCTGTTTGGCCGGATAGAGGGGGCTAACCGGGCGCGGCACGGGCTAGAGAAGAGATGGACTGTTGCATTACAGGAAGATGTGGAGCTGTGTGGACTTGCCGATGACTGGTACCAGCGGTGTCAAGATCGGCCTCTGTGGAGGAGGCTCGTGAACGATGCTACTGGGCAGTTGGAGGCAGTCGCCCTCCAACAACAATGAAGGGCGGAGAAGCGACGCTCACGACAACGAGCGGAGCGCCGGGCGGCTCAGGTGCAGCAAATTGGCACAGTAGGGGGCACAGGTGGTGGCGCATCTGCCAGTCATCTCAGTCAACACATGGCACCTGCTGGGTCTGTCCCGTGACCTCCTGTCAGTGAGCCTTCGACACTTCACGTGGCCTCAAAGCGCACCCGGCCTGGCACGGGTGCCGTGGTGACGTCACCATAGCTTAGTGGCGAATGGCGGTTGTTGTTGTTGTTGATAGTGGCGAGCGGATAGGCGGTGGCGAGTGGCTGGGTGGGTGGCGTGGCTATGGTGGTGGTCGTAGTGTTGGTGGTGGGCGGGGTCGTTGTGGGTGGGTGTGCGGCCTGGCACGGCACAAGCGCCGAGGTGACGTCACCGCCACGTCGCAGTGAACGGCGGTCGTTGTGGAGTGAATGGGTCCGGTGGTGGCGAGGAGGCCGCAAGACGGGCGCCGTTGTTTGTTTCAGCTGCCTCGCCACGAGATCGGACGGCTCCTCAGATGGCTTCGCCACTTCCTGCACCTCCTTCTCCTCCTCCTCCGCTCATCAAACGAGAGACCGATGACGAGGAGAGCCCAGGCACTGGGAGAAGTCCTGAGCTGCCGGTGAAACGTGAAGACGCCGCCGCTGATGACGGCGACGATGAAGCAGCCGGTGAGATCGCTCGGCTCGTCTCCTGTCACCGTCAGCTGGTTTGGACCAGGGGTGGTGAACCGCCTGAGACAGCGAGAGAGAGACACCCAGATCCAGGGCTTGAACCCAGCCTCTCAGTGTCTCTTGCTTGGTCATCATGAACCCCTGAGAGACAGCGAGAGACACCCAGATCCAGGGCTTGAACCCAGCCTCTCAGTGTCTCTTGCTTGGTCATCATGATCCCCCTGAGACAGAGAGAGACACCCAGACCCAGGGATCGAACCCAGGGTTCTCCGTGTCTCTGGCTTGGTCATCATGAACCCCCTGAGACAGAGAGAGACACCCAGACCCAGGGCTTGAACCCAGCATCTCAGTGTCTCTGGCTTGGTCATCATGAACCCCCTGAGACAGAGAGAGACACCCAGACCCAGGGCTTGAACCCAGCATCTCAGTGTCTCTGGCTTGGTCATCATGAACCCCCTGAGACAGAGAGAGACACCCAGACCCAGGGATCGAACCCAGCATCTCAGTGTATCTGGCTCAGTCATCATGAACCCCCTGAGACAGAGAGAGACACCCAGACCCAGGGCTTGAACCCAGCGTCTCAGTGTCTCTGGCTTGGTCATCATGAACCCCCTGAGACAGAGAGAGACACCCAGACCCAGGGCTTGAACCCAGCATCTCAGTGTCTCTGGCTTGGTCATCATGAACCCCCTGAGACAGAGAGAGACACCCAGACCCAGGGATCGAACCCAGGGTCCTCCGTGTCTCTGGCTTGGTCATCATGAACCCCCTGAGACAGAGAGAGACACCCAGACCCAGGGCTTGAACCCAGCGTCTCAGTGTCTCTGGCTTGGTCATCATGAACCCCCTGAGACAGAGAGAGACACCCAAACCCAGGGATCGAACCCAGCCTCTCAGTGTATCTGGCTCGGTCATCATGAACCCCGTGAGACAGAGAGAGACACCCAGACCCAGGGCTTGAACCCAGCCTCTCAGTGTCTCTAGCTTGGTCATCATGAACCCCCTGAGACAGAGAGAGACACCCAGACCCAGGGATCGAACCCAGCCTCTCAGTGTCTCTAGCTTGGTCATCATGAACTCCCTGAGACAGAGAGAGACACCCAGACGCAGGGCTTGAACCCAGCGTCTCAGTGTCTCTGACTTGGCCATCATGAACCCCCTGAGACAGAGAGAGACACCCAGACCCAGGGTTCGAACCCAGGGTTCTCCGTGTCTCTGGCTTGGTCATCATGAACCCCCTGAGACAGAGAGAGACACCCAGACCCAGGGCTTGAACCCAGCGTCTCAGTGTCTCTGGCTTGGTCATCATGAACCCCCTGAGACAGAGAGAGACACCCAGACCCAGGGCTTGAACCCAGCATCTCAGTGTCTCTGGCTTGGTCATCATGAACCCCCTGAGACAGAGAGAGACACCCAGACCCAGGGCATGAACCCAGCTTCTCAGTGTCTCTGACTTGGCCATCATGAACCCCCTGAGACAGAGAGAGACACCCAGACCCAGGGATCGAACCCAGGGTCCTCCGTGTCTCTGGCTTGGTCATCATGAACCCCCTGAGACAGAGAGAGACATCCAGACCCAGGGCTTGAACCCAGCGTCTCAGTGTATCTGGCTCGGTCATCATGAACCCCCTGAGACAGAGAGAGACACCCAGACGCAGGGCTTGAACCCAGCGTCTCAGTGTGTCTGACTTGGCCATCATGCACCCCCTGAGACAGAGAGAGACACCCAGACCCAGGGTTCGAACCCAGGGTTCTCCGTGTCTCTGGCTTGGTCATCATGAACCCCCCGAGACAGAGAGAGACACCCAGACCCAGGGCTTGAACCCAGCTTCTCAGTGTCTGACTTGGCCATCATGAACCCCCTGAGACAGAGAGAGACACCCAGACCCAGGGCTTGAACCCAGCTTCTCAGTGTCTCTGGCTTGGTCATCATGAACCCCTGAGAGACAGCGAGAGACACCCAGACCCGGGGCTTGAACCCAGCGTCTCAGTGTCTCTGGCCCAGCCACCGTCTCCCTGATCCTCTCGGTCTCCTCTCGTCAGTGCAACAACAGCAGCAGCAGCAGCGTGTATGTGTGCAGCAGCAGGAGCGTGTGTGTGTGCGTGCAGCAGCAGCAGCGCGTGTGTGTGTGCAGCAGGAGCAGTCGTGAAGCAGGAGGTGGGTGAGGGCCCTCTGGGCCGCGAGATCGTGAGGACGCTGGTGAAGAGCGAGGTGGAGGAGGAGGATGGTGAGTGAGGCAGCGAGAGAATTTTACTTTGCGCAGCGAGGGCAGAAACCTTGGCAAGATATTTCCAGAGGGGCCTTGATCATCCAGCCAAGCATCTTGTGTCTCTCTCCTCGCCAGCTTGAGCCATCGACTCTGCAACTGAATCACGCCCCACGATTCACTCTGTCACCCGCAGCTCCAGACCTGAAGATCGTTAAGGTTGAAGATGCGACCGAGATTTCGGATGAGGCGACGGCGGATTCCCGCGATGGGCGTCCGGAAGCGCCGGACCGGAACTCCGTCGAGGTTGAGTTGTCCGAAGAGGACGACGTCGGTGGAGGTGAGAGTTCCCCCCGGTGATTGCCTCACGCGCAGAGAGACAAAGATCCCCCGTGTAGCCCCTAACGGGCTGCTGGGGCGAGTGCCGTTAGCGAGTGGCGCCGTGGGAAGGCCGCCGCGGTGCACGAGGGGGCGGGGTGGCCGTGCCTGGCCGCCTTTGACTCCCTAGTGGCGATGTTTTCTACGCACCGCGCCAGGTGTTCATTTGAGGCTGAGTTGACCTAAGGGGAGACCCAGGCCCGGTTCACGTAATCGCCTCTGGTGGAATCGAATTGCGGTCTCCGCCGGGTTCGTAGCGCGGCGTAGCGCTAACCGCTCCACCGTGAAAGCGCGTCATTACTCTTTGGCGTCTTTCTCTGGTCTGACACTGTTTGAGACTGCGCTCTAAAGAAAGCTGTCTCTGGTGTGGACCAATCACTTTCAAAGACAATGAATCATCATCAAATGCTGTCAGAGCGTGTATTGTTTTGTATTTTCACCGCAAGTATCTGTGGTTAATGCAGCCGTTTGGCGCTTCGACATCTTAACACGACTGTTTTGTCGCCGGTTAAAAGGGAAAAAACCTATTCTCATATGTTGACACTGGCAAAGGAGGTCCCGTGACTAGCGTCGCCCTCTCGCAAGGCGGCGTCGCGGGATATTTTTTAATATTTAGCGTTCGCCGCGAGCGTGGAGGACCGCCGCTGCCGGGTGGCGTTGTCGCCGCTCGTCCACGCGTTCGTCATCGGCCACGGCAGCATCTTCGGCTGGGCCAGCGCTGTTCCACCTGCGGCCACTCGCTTCGGCGTTTAAACGCTGCGGCTCGCCCCGATGGTCGTGAAGCAGAAATACGATCCGATCACGAGTTTGATAGCCGACGGGACGCACCGGCCCACCTATTGAATTCCCCGATTGTGCATCGACGATGCCCGCTCGTCTTCAAGCGTCTCGACTTGAAGCTTTCGCGACCGCAGGGATTCATTTTTTCCTCGCGTCTTTTGGTAAAGTCACGTGGATGGGCTCAAAGATTGCGACGCAAAAACGACGACGTTTCGATCGTCGTCAGGAGGATGACGGCCGCTTGCGTTGCGATCGGAACGTCCTGGGTCTTGTTTGCCATTCTCTGTGAACCCATCCACGTGACTTTGCCGAAAGACCCAAGGAATATTCGAGAGTCCCCGTCAATCTGCTCCGTCCTATCTCGCCTGATCGGCGAGTACCGGCTTCAACAGGTCCTCCGCCCCACTCTCTTCGATCGCAACACAACCGTCATGAGGTAGAACTAAAGCTGAGAGGGAGACAAAACGCAGGCTCTGTGTGTTGTCTCTCTCTCTGTTTGCGCGTCTGTCTGCGCGGTGTCTCCGTGTCTGCGTTTTGTCTCCCAAATTTAGTCCTACCTCATGACGGTTGCTTGTGTCGCGATCGTAACGCCGCGTTCTGCTGTCTTAATTTATTTTCTTTCCGCGTCACTTCACCGGAAGAACCAAAGGGTAATTGCTGCAGTCGCAAAAGCCTCAAGTCAAGTTCTAGACCCAAAACGGTGGCGGTGTCGTTGGTGTCGCTGGTGTTTCAGAGAGCCGACGCGAGCGCGTGATCGACGCGCGTTCGCGACGGACGACTCACGGCGGCGCTCAACGAGAAACGTTCTTACTTTCACTCATCCACGCTAACGAGGCCGGCCGCCGCGTTGCGACCGGCCCCGGCGGATTCGTATACCTCGGAGGCTCGCGAGGTACCGGTCGGCCGGCCTCCCCCCGTGACGGAGCCGTGCGCTGTGCGTTCCCCAAACCGTGCGGCGGCGGCGGCGGCAGACGGAGCCGACCCGGGGACCGAACCGCGGCCTGGGCGCCCCGCGGCGACGACGGCCGCGGACGCCGCCGACGGCGGGCGGCACGCCTGCGCGGAGTGCGGCAAGCGGTTCGCCCGCGCGTACGGCCTGAAGACGCACGCGCGGACGCACACGGGGGAGCGGCCGCACGCCTGCGGCGCCTGCGGCAAGCGGTTCGGGACGCGGCACAACCTGGCGACGCACGCGCGCGTCCACACGGGCGAGAGGCCGCACCCCTGCGGCGCCTGCGGCCGCGCCTTCTCGCAGCTCGGCGACCTGCGGAAGCACGCGCGGACCCACACGGGCGAGCGGCCGTACGCGTGCGGCGTCTGCGGCCGCGGCTTCGTCAGGCGCTTCGCCCTGAAGACGCACGCGCGGACCCACGCCCGGCCGCCCGACGTCGCGAACGCGCGCCGGGCGGCCGTTGGAGCGGGCTCCCCGAAACGCCGACAACGCCGCGGGCCTCCGGCGCGCGGCGGGGAGAGGCCGCACGCCTGCCCCGAGTGCGGCCGCGGCTTCGCCCACCGCTACCTCCTGGAGATCCACGCGCTGAGCCACACGGGCGAGCGGCCGCACGCGTGCGGCGTCTGCGGCCGGGGCTTCGCGCGGCGCGGCGACCTGAGGAAGCACGCGCGGACGCACGCGGCCGGCGGCGGGGAGAAGCCGCACGCGTGCGGCGACTGCGGCCGAGCGTTCTCCCACCGCTACCTCCTGGGGATCCACGCGCGCGTCCACACGGGCGAGCGGCCGCACGCGTGCGGCGTCTGCGGCCGCTCGTTCGCCCAGCGGAACGTCCTGAAGAGCCACGCGCTGACGCACACGGGCGAGAGGCCGCACGCCTGCGCCGAGTGCGGCCGCGCGTTCTCGCAGCGCTCCAACCTGGAGGCGCACGCCCGCGTCCACACGGGCGAGCGGCCCCACGCCTGCGGCGACTGCGGCCGGGGCTTCTCGCGCCGCTCCGACCTGAGGAGGCACGCTCGGACGCACGGCGCGGGGGGCGCCGATGCCGCTTCCGCGCCCGGGAGCTGACCGGGCGCGCAAACGTTGGGGACCGCAGGAGCTTGGGCGATCTTCAGAGACGATTCTTCGCTGCTGCTGCCGCTGCTGCTGCTGCCTTCCCACGCTCGTCTGCGCCTCTGTGGGACCACTGCGCGCGTTGAAAATTCTCCAGCGGTTTTGCTCGAATGAGCCCGCCAGCGGCCGGGCTTTGAAGGCGGCGCCGCGGTGCCGGGATGTTATCTCGCTCGCCCGGCATGCAGGAGGCCGTGGGGGTTGATCCCAACCCCTGATGCTTCTACCTCTCACTCCTTAACCTCTCTACCTACCTCCCTCCCTACCTACCTACCGCCCTCCCCTCCTTTGTTTCTAAAAACAAATTTTTATCGATCAGAAGAAAGACAAAAAAATGCTCGGTTACGCGGCACTCGGCTTCGTTCATCATGTCGTTTTTTTTTTAATTTTTAAATGTCCGGCTTTCACGGCGTTTTCCTTTTTCATATATACACGAAATATTACGCGTGTACTCCCCCTCTTCCCATGTAACAGAAACCCCTTTGTGGGCTGTGTTCACAGACGCAGCGTAAAAAAACAACAACCTTTAAACACCCGTCGGTCACATCGCACGGAGCACCCACCGCGGCCGAACGCGTCGAAAAGGACGGAACTCGCCCGTCAACTGAGCGGAGCGAAATTCCGGCCAAATTCTGGCAGAAACCGGGGCTTTGAACATGCGGCAGTGGCTGAATTAGGCCAGTGCCCTCTCTTGCACGCTGCCCGGCTGCTATAGATCGCCAGTTTCGCATCGTTTGTGACCAAGGTCACGAAGCCCTCTTATAAACTTTGGAGTCTGCATTCTCGCAATGTCCAAAATTAAGAATCGCGGGAGAGAAATGAAGCTTGAATTACGTGAAGTTGTTTTGTATCAATTTGAATAAGTGAGTCGGGGGATTTGACGATGCATGCACCGATGCGCTTCTGTTTCATTCAAGCGTGGAATAAACATTCTGGCTTCATATCTGTGAAACATGCCCGAAAATGACTTGTGGTCACAGTTGTCACGTTGACCGTGTTGGGTTGCGCTTACGGTAGACCACTCGGAGGCCCGACTGTTAAGGGATGCCAGCTTTTATTTCCCGTGAGAGCCGACACCAGCCCCCACCAGTACAGGGGGGCTAATCGCCTGGAAAAAGACGGCTAACACATTCATATTCTTGGGTCTTTCGGTAAAGTCACGTAGATAGGTTCAAAGACAGTAACAAAAAAATAACAAAGAAACTACGACGTTTCGATCGCGACACAAGCGGTCGTCTTCTTTGAACCGATCTACGTGACTTTACCGAAAGATCCAAGAATATGAATTCCTGCAGTCACGAAAGCTTTAAGTCAAGGGCTAACACATTAGCGGGCGTACACGTAACAACAACAACCGCCATTCACCACTAAGTGGCGGTGACGTCACCACGTCGCTTGTGCCAGGCCATGTGCACATTGAGGCCACGTGAAGTGCAAACGCCCGCTGGCAGGAGGTCACAGGGCAGACCCAGGTGCCACGGGTCGACTGACTGAGATAACTGGCTGGTGCACCACCTGTGCCCCCTACTGTGCCAGCTTGCTGTGCTTTAGCCACCCGGCGCTCTGCTCGTTGTTGTGAGTGTCGCTCCTCCACCCGCCGTTGTTGTTGGAGGGCGACTGCCTCCAATTTCCCAGTAGCATCCTTCACGAGCTTCCTCCACTCAGCTCCACATCCTCCTGGACCACATCACTCCATCTCTTCTCTAGCCCGTGCCGCGCCCATTTAGCCCCCTCTAGCCGGCCGAACAAAAGCTGTTTCTGCATGCGGTAACTGCGCATGCGTGCTACATGACCCAGCCAACGCAGCCTTGCCTGCCGGAGGAGCTCACCGATGGGACTTTGTCCAGATCATTCAAGGATTTGTGAGCTCCTCACAATCCAGCCTGGTTAAACCCAGGATGGATCGTAGGCAGGTCAGCCTAAATGTTTCTAACCGGCGAAGATGTTCCATTAGGGGGGGTCCACGTTTCGCAAGCATAGAGAAGGGAGGGAATGACTGTGGCCAAGAAGACCCGAATCTTCGGGCGGAGCGACAGACCAAGTAGCTTCCACACGTTACACAACCAATGAAAAGATTATGCCGCGCGACTGATTCGGAGTGAGACCTCTGCTGTCAAACCGGAGCCGGTCATGAGCACACTGCCCAGATATGGGAAACTCTCCACTCTCTCTACAAGTGCCCCATCACCAATTGGGAGTTGTGGGGGTGGAGTGTCCGATGGTCCACAATACCCAGGCAGGTGCTTAGTTTTGGTGGGGCTGATGGTAAGGCCCCACCTCTTAGTGACATGCTCCAGGTTCAGCAGCAGCGCCTCCAACTCCTCCTTTGAGTGAGCGGCAATTACCGGGTCATCGGCATACATAATGTGGCTGACCGCACCCGGGCATCGATCAGCCTCCCATTGCATCTGTACCAGATGGAAATTCCTCCGGTACAGCTACTGAAGGCTTCACGGACTACGTGGTCAAAATAGATGTTAAATAATGTTGGAGCCAGAGGACATCCCTGTCGCACCCCAAGGTGAACAGGGAATGGCTCCGACTCCCGGCCACGTAGTTTTACCCGGGCCCACTCACCATCATGAAGGTCCTTAATGATTGTGAGCAGTGGGTCAGGGACTCCGAAAGCACGAAGAACAACCCAGAACCCAGGCCTACTGATGGCATCATAGGCCTTGACAAGGTCAATAAAGCAGAGATGTAGGTCTTGCTGGAATTCCCTACACCTCTGCTATAGCAGACGGACAGAAAATATGGCATCTGTGCAGGACCACCCTTTCCTGAAACCACATTGGGGCTCCGCAAGCCTCTCCTCAGCGTGCCTGGCAAGGCGATGTTGAATAATCCTTGCCAGGACCTTTCCTGGCACACTGAGGAGTGAGATGCCACTGTAGTTGTTACAGTCTGTGCAGTCTCCCTTCTTAAAGATGGGGACCACCAGGGCATCCTTCCAGTCCTGCAGAACCCGTCCAGTGGTCCAGACTGTTTTATGATGTCATGTAGGGCAGTCTGTGCACAAACGCCACCCTCCCTCAGCATTTCGCTTGGGAGATCATCTCTGCCCGGGCATTAAAGTTACCCAACAATTTGACTGTCCCGAGGGGCCACTTTACACAGGACCTATGACAGGAGGTCATAGAAGGCATCTGACTCATCAGCCTTGCCTGCATCCCTCCACGGATGTTCATCTTCAGTGGGGGCATAAGTAACCACGACCACCACTCCTCGCCTCCGGTTGATGGGAAGGCGAGCCCAAAGTAGCCTGGGGCTTACAGCTTCCCACACCTCAACGCCACGCTCCCACGCCCCCTTCATTCTTTTGTTCAAAAGAAGAGCCACACCCTGTTGTTTGGCAGTCTGCTGCCCCGAGTAGAGGACTGTCCACCCCTCATGGTGGCAGGAGCCAGAGCCGGTCCACCAGACCTCCTGAATGCCACAGAGATCCAGGCGGTACCGGTCCAGCTCCCGACAGAAGAGTGGGCAGCCCCTCCTCCGCAGTGAGCGTTCGAACATTCAATGTGGCCATCCGTAATGGCTTTTCGTTGTTTCTGGAGGATCCCCGCGGGTAAGGATTCAATCTCCTGGCTCCGCCAAATGGGGTTTGGCCAGGAGACGTCACAGACGCCTGTCCTCCTGGGGCCTCCGGCACAAGCTTGTTAATTACATTTTTCAGTCGTAGTTTAGTGGTAGTTAATTGAAGGTGGAGGGGTTACCAGCCCCTCGCACCCGTCCAGAGCCCCCATTTAGCCGCTGTGGTGGTCACAGACGCCATGAGGGGAAAGAGCAATCGGATTTGGCCCTCCCCCCCCCCACAGCACTGTCCACGACAACGTTGCCCGTCCGGCACCACGAAGAGGTAGGGGGTTGTTTTACCGGACAGACTCACCACACAGAGACCCACAAACTCACCACACAGAGACCCACAGACTCACCACACAGATACCCACAGAATCAACACACAGAGACCCACAGACTCACCACACAGAGACCCACAGACTCACCACACAGAGACCCACAGACTCACCACACAGAGACCCACAGACTCACCACACAGAGACCCACAGGCTCACCACACAGAGACCCACAGACTCACCACATAGAGACCCACAGACTCACCACACAGAGACCCACAGACTCACCACACAGACCCACAGACTCACCACACAGAGACCCACAGACTCACCACACAGAGACCCACACTCACCACACAGAGACCCACAGATTCACCACACAGAGACCCACAGACTCGCCACACAGAGACCCACAGACTCGCCACACAGAGACCCACAGACTCACCACACAAACCCACAGACTCACCACACAGAGACCCACAGACTCACCACACAGAGACCCACAGACTCACCACACAGAGACCCACAGACTCACCACACAGAGACCCACAGACTCACCACACAGAGACCCACAGACTCAACACACAGAGACCCACAGACTCACCACACAGAGACCCACAGACTCACCACACAGAGACCCACAGACTCACCACACAGAGACCCACAGACTCACCACACAGAGACCCACAGACTCACCACACAGAGACCCACAGACTCACCACACAGAGACCCACAGACTCACCACACAGAGACCCACAGACTCACCACACAGAGACCCACAGACTCACCACACAGGGAACCACAGACTCAACACAGACCCACAGACTCACCACACAGAGACCCACAGACTCACCACAGATACCCACAGAATCAACACACAGAGACCCACAGACTCACCACGCAGAGACCCACAGACTCACCAGAGACCCACAGACTCACCACACAGAGACCCACAGACTCACCACACAGATACCCACAGAATCAACACACAGAGACCCACAGACTCACCACACAGAGACCCACAGACTCACCACACAGAGACCCACAGACTCACCACACAGAAACCCACAGACTCACCACACAGAGACCCACAGACTCACCACAGATACCCACAGAATCAACACACAGAGACCCACAGACTCACCACGCAGAGACCCACAGACTCACCAGAGACCCACAGACTCACCACACAGAGACCCACAGACTCACCACACAGATACCCACAGAATCAACACACAGAGACCCACAGACTCACCACACAGAGACCCACAGACTCACCACACAGAGACCCACAGACTCACCACACAGAGACTCACAGACTCACCATACAGAGACCCACAGACTCACCACACAGAGACCCACAGACTCACCACGCAGAGACCCACAGACTCACCACGCAGAGACCCACAGACTCACCACACAGAGACCCACAGACTCACCACATAGAGACCCACAGACTCAACACACAGAGACCCACAGACTCACCACACAGAGACCCAGACTCACCACACAGAGACCCACAGACTCACCACACAGAGACCCACAGACTCACCACACAGGGACCCACAGACTCAACACAGACCCACAGACTTACCACACAGAGACCCACAGACTCACCACACAGAGACTCACAGACTCACCATACAGAGACCCACAGACTCACCACACAGAGACCCACAGACTCACCACGCAGAGACCCACAGACTCACCACACAGAGACCCACAGACTCACCACACAGAGACCCACAGACTCACCACACAGGGACCCACAGACTCAACACAGACCCACAGACTCACCACACAGAGACCTACACTCACCACAGATACCCACAGAATCAACACAGAGACCCACAGACTCACCACGCAGAGACCCACAGACTCACCAGAGACCCACAGACTCACCACACAGAGACCCGCAGACTCACCACACAGAGCCTCACAGACTCACCATACAGAGACCCACAGACTCACCACGCAGAGACCCACAGACTCACCACACAAGCAAATAATTCCAATTTTGTTTTTATTCATCAGCAGTGCCACTGGCTCTACCTGAAGCCACGGGGAAGGGGCAGTCCCCCCGTCACTTAGAGTGCAGCACAGCAACAACTAAACA